GGGGGTGTCGGCGCGCCGGAGGGGCAGGGCGCCTCGGCCCTACAGTGGCTCAGTCATACGGTGACTCATACTTTTCCGAGCGACGCCTCCAACGACGCCTCCCCCCCCCCCGCCAGTCCCTCTCACTCTCCCTTTCCCTCGGATGACGACGACGCGCTCGCAGGAAAGGAGGGGGGGAGGCGTCGTCCTCCCCCTGTTGCGACAATGTCAAAGTCAAAGCATAACGGACAAGCCAGGCCGCAGCAACGCGGACGGGAGCATGGCTGCCTGTCTGTCTGCCTGTCTGTCCGCCCGGCGGACATAGGATTCGAATAATCCAATCCTTCCCTTCCCTTCTCGACAGGTCCGATGAGGCTGCAACGTCGTTTTGTTTCCGGCTGTCAGTTCCGGTGCCCTTCTCTGCGTGTGTGTTGGTGTGCGTGTGCCTTGTGGGCCTTGTGGGCCTTTTGGGCCCCGGACCGGAAGCGCGCCGGTGGGGACAGGAGCGGACAGGAGCGGACAGGAGGCCCCCGACACGGCTGCCGACGCTGCCGGCGCCCCCTCCCACGAACTCACGCACTGGCCGCGACCAGTCCGACCGGCACGGCCGGGCCCCTCACTGTGAAAAGTGAATTCGAAACAAAAACAAAAACAAAAGTGAAACGGATGATGCGTCTGACTGTCGCTGTGCGACTCCGGCCCGCGCCGTGCCGCGCCGCCCGGCCAAGCTGACGAGTGAATTCGCCGAGTAATGAGGCAGGCCCCCGGCAGACTGATTCCGAACTGTCGCTCTTTCTCTCTCGCACGCAATGGGGCGGCACGCAGCGGTGCGAGAGAGACAGAGCGACGGAGCTCTGTTTTCGGAGGCAAGCCCTAGTCCACGCACGCCGGGCATTCTGTCCTGTGTGTATACGGTGTAGCGCCGTGTAGGGCCCCGCCCTGCCCCGCCCGGTGCAATTATTCCGGCCAGGCGGAAGGAACGGCGGGGCCGTGCAGCGGGGAGAGCGAGAGAGACAGAGAGATGGCGCGAGACAAAAGGTTGATCACCATGCACCCCGGGGTGGCAGCGTAGCGCAGCGCCCGCCTCGCGCCTCGCGCAATGAAGGACGTCGACTTGTGCAACGAACGACGGGCACCCCGCCCCGCCCCGCCCCTCGCAGGACAGATGCTGTATTGTGAGTTGGTGCCGCCGTTCCAAGTTGTAACGAGGTTTGGCGTGGTGGCGTGGTGGCGTGCCAGTGGCGTGCCGCAGTGCCGCGGCGCCGTCGCGGATGGCGGCGAAGGGGCCGAAGGGCGAAGGGCGCGGGGCGCGGCGCGGCGGCCAATGTTCTCGCTGTTCTTGTCCTCGGGACCGCCACACTGCAAGCCACTGCAAGCCAGGCCGCAAGCCGCGCCAGCTCGCCCCGTCCAGTGTAGTGGCACGCTACAGAAATTATTGTGAACCGTGAACTTCTAGAAATGACGCGGTCCTTTTCGAAATCCGTTCGGTCGGTGCCGTCATGCGTCTGGTTCGAGAAGTATTTCCAAGCCTCTAGAATATGCAGAAATCTAGACCGCACCAGGCCGGTCAGTGTGTGTGGAAAACAAAAGATGGCGGCATCGAAGAGGTGGACGCAGCCGGCTCGCCTCGCCACGCCTGGCTGCCCCGCGTGAGAAGGGCCTGCCCGCGGCCTGATGCCGAACACTGCTTTCGTCGCTCTGTCTCTCTCGCACTCGAAGGGCGAACCGCAGGGGTGCGAGTGAGGCAGCGCGACGAGAGAGCACCCTTCGGAAGCAGCCGGCTGACCTCTTCGTCTGTCCGTTCCGCCGCTGCTTTGGCCGCCGTGTTTTCGTCATTCCCTTGGACAGCCTCGCTCGCGTCGTTATGAATGACATTATTCCAGAGCCTTGTTAGTCGTGCACGCCACACATGCATAGAAATAGGGGCGTGGTGGCGCGGGGCGGGGTGGGGCGGGGCGCGGGCCCTACCGCATTACATGTCTTCGACGGCGTGCCCTCGCCGCGCTCGAGCGCCCCGGAGGTCCATACCCGCATAAATAAGTGCGTGCGTGTGTGTGTGAGTGCCTTCAGCGCGCCTGTGCTAGTGTGTCAACTTCCTCCGGCTGGCGCTCCCTCCGCACCGGCTGTGTTTGGCGAGTACCCTCGCGGTGCTCGAGCGCGGCGAGCGCCCTGCACAAGCCCTTGAAGGCCGGGAAGCAGGCTCTTTGGGGCCCTCTAGGCCGCTAGGCCGCTAGACTACGCCCTTCGCCTGTATGGCGCCAGCGCGCCAGCGAGGGGCCGCGGCCGAGTGCTTGACACAGTTATGCCAGTCCCGGCGCCGTGCCTATGCGATGATTTTTGTCGCCACAGGCACTCCCGACGCCCCACGTCCTCCAGGCTGCAGGGCTGCGGGGCGGCCTGCAGCCCGTGCCGTGCACTGTGCTTTGCCCGTGCAGGTCAAGGCTGGGCTCCAGGACACTCCAGAACCCTCCAGGACACCGCTGGGCCGCCGCTGCATCCCGCGCGTCATTTATTCATGCTGCAGCAGGGTACGGTGTGCGGTTCCGCGCACGGGTTGCATCGCTTCGTCTCTGGCAGAGGCCCCCCTCCCCCTCCTCCCGGTGCCGCAGTGCGGTACAGCTGCTGCCGACTGCCGGCCGCGTCTCGAGTCGTAACCCTTCACGTCTCGAATCATGTGTGTCTTTTCGGCCGCGTCCCGACAGAGGTCCTTGCAGGTGTTCACCGTTCACCCCGCCCCAGCAGGTGCTTCCGTCGATGTGACTCTCTCTCTCTCTCTCACTCTCCCTCACGGAACGCCCCACGAGAGCGAAAGGGACAGAGCGACGAACGTGCTGTTTGGAAAACTGCCGCTCTGCTGCGAGGTCGGGCGAGGCTACTTACCTCCGCTGCTGTTTACACCCATCTTTGGGAGAAAGTCGTGCCCTTGTGAGTGAGAGAGTGTGAGTTAGAGTTTGTGTGAGTGAGTGAGTGCACTCTGCGCCGCGATAACCTGGGGCGGGCGATCGCCCGTGAGGAAGCGTCTTGAACCGAGAGAAAATCCTAGTGAGTGCGAGCGAGACAGAGCGACGCCTCTTATCTTGGAACCACATCCAGTGTTCGTACCGCCTGGAGGCGCCGCTTAGCGCCGCCATGGCCGCGCGGCGGGCCGATATAGTGGGCCCACCAGCGGCGGATGGACTTCGAGTGCTGTCTCTCTCGCACTCACGGGGCGTGCCGTAGGGCCGCGAGCCAGGCAGAGTGACGAGGCTCTGCTCGGAATCGCCCCACGCTGCAGTGACACGACGGCAGTTGCCACCCGGAGTCGGCGCTTGATCGTTCCCTGGAACTGGAACGGCCCGGAGCCTCCAGTGCCCTGGCCGCCGCGTCCTTATGACTCAGCCTGATAGCGCCACACCGCGGGCCGAGCCGCGGTCCGCGGAGGTGTGGCGCAACGACCCGTGCGTCATGGGCCGCCCGGGTCGCTTCGTCGCTCTGTCTCTCTCGCTCGTCTCCGCGCCGCGCCATGAGTGCGAGAGAGAGAGAGGGCGCTGTTATTCTGAATCGAGCCGGTGACGGGTCCGGTCCGACGGCGGCGTCCCCGATGACGGCCTCGGTGACAGCATTCCAGCGGCGTTATGGTCTTGTCGGCGTCCTGCGCGCTGCGTGCGCCGCGTCCACGCGACACCTCGTGGTGGCGGCCGCGTCGCCGCGTCGCCCCGTCGCACGAGGGAGGCCGGGGATGACACTCGCGTGACTTGCCGAGTCCACTGATCGGGGCCTTGACGCCTGCAGACTGAAACAGACTGAACGAGAGAGAGAGCCTGCTGACGCCGCCGCCGCGCCGTGACTCAGACACTCAGGGCCTCGGAGACGCGGACGACGCGGACCGCCACGAAGATGCCCCAATTATCCTGCCTGCTCCGGGCGGCGCGCTCGGGCTGCTCGGGCGGTACCGACTGTACTGCCCGGTACGGCCTGGGCCTGTCGTGTTCCGAGTGTCCGTGTCCGCGTGGATGAGTACAGATCCGTCACCCTGAGTCACCCGCTGCGTCCGGGCAATGGCCACGGCGGCCGCGGCTGCGTCCAGCCGGCCGGAGGGACTCTGGAATGTGGCGAGGAATCTCCAATACATCACCCGCGCGTGTGTGAGCGTGTGTGTGTCTGAGTGAGAGAGAGGGCGGGAGTGAGTGTGTGTTGGTGTGTGATCTGGAAGCGTCCGTCCCGTCCCTTCTCGCGTCGTGGACCGCCTTTGGACCGCACAGCGCGCTCAGCGCGTGTGCTGCAGTGGTGTGACAGCGGGGCCGACCGGCTGCGGGGCTTAGCGACGTCGCCGTCGTGACCGACCGGCCGCGCCGGAAACGGTGCCCGACACACCCAGCGGTGCCCTGCCGTGCCCTGCGGTGCCCGGTGAGCAGTGCGATTGTTTTTGGAACGGACAGTGACGCCGGACGGCCGTGGCCGCCGTGGGAGCGAAATGCTGCACCTCTTTAGTACGCAGATGGCCTGCCGTCGGCTGGCCGGCCGCACTGGCAACAATATTTCTCCTGTTTGTCTGGCGGGCAAGGCGCGGGCAAGGCGCGGGCAAGGCCTCGAGCCGGCCCGGCCTGGCTGTGCTTGAAACTCGGGCAGGAACCAAAATCCTCTGAGCAGCTCTCTGCGAGGGCGAGGGCGTTGCCTGAAGCACGGCCGGCGAATCCTTCGCGCCACCGTCCCGGCGGCGCGAGCGCGGGGCGGCGTGGTGCCCATGCCGGCTTCCGGCCGAGACGTACCTCTGGGCGGGTGGCGGGATGCCAGTGCCTGGCCGGCCGAGAACGACGCCGGCGTCCCATGACCCAAGGCCGTCCCACGCATACAGAACCTGTCTGCCTACCGTCTGCCTTTACGTCTGCCTGATTGGTTGGGGGGGAGGGGAACACCTGCGAACACTGACAACCAACCCTTCACCGAAGTCGAACGGATTGCCTACCATCCGGTCATCTCTGCCGGATTCCACTTTTTCGGGTGTAGCTGACTAACGCGTTCGTGTCTCCTCTCTGTTGCAGGATGCCATCCCGACGCCGGCGTGCCGGACATGACCGTCATCTCGGACATCGACGAGAACGGCATCAACCGAAACCTGCAAGTCCGCTACCAGCGGGACCAGATATACGTATCCTTTGTCTGCGCGACGTAATTGGCTGTCGCGGTGCTGGCGGCGCGTGCCGCTGGAGTGTTGGGGTCCCGTCCAGCACACTGTCGAGCACACTGTCCACCACACTGTCCACCACACTGTCCACCACACTGTCCAGCACGTCCTCGTCTGCCCCATTGTGCACAGGGCCTCCATTCATGCGCACCGCAGACTGATTCCGAGAGTCGTTTGCGTCGCTCTGTCTCTCTCTCTCACTCACGGGACGCCCCGGGTAGGTGCGAGAGAGACAGCGCGACGACAACGACTCTCGGAATCAGTCCGCAGCGTCAACACACGACGCTTTCGCCGCGTCCGGCCCGGTCCGCTCGGCCCGCGGGCGCAACTGCAGTGCTGTTGTGCCACGCCCCTCCGTTTCCCATTTATGATTTCAATGCACTCGGACAAACAGCGCGACTGCGGGTTCGATCCCACCCATCTGCTTCATTTTTCAGAGGATGGCGTCGGATTCTTTTCGATAAAATTTGAGCGAGTGACGGGTAAAAACTCGCGTGGGGCGCATAAGGTCTCGAAGCCGCGGTCGCGCTGCGTTAGCGACGGCGGCTGCGAAAGAAAGAGAGGAAGCGTGGGCATCACGGGCGTGACGCGTGACGCGATCGCGACGCGTGTGTGACGTTGACGAGACACTGACGTGACGGCGTGACGGCCGGGCGCGCGTGTAGTAAACGCAATCGCTATCCTCCCTCGGCAAACAGTGAGTAGTCGGAGTCATCGAATATCAAGATGGAGGCGAGGCGAGCCGCGGGGCCACAGGGGGTGGGCGACTGCTTTGCTTACCTTTCAAGATAAAGTCCGGGGCTCCACTGTGAGGTTCGGAAAGGGGGGAGGGGGAGGGGGAAGGGGGGAGGGGGGTCGAGGCCCCGCTACGCTACGCCTTGCCGCCGCTCCGTAGATTATGGAGCTTCCGGCCGCAGAGACCGGATATCACCGGATATCAGCGCCGCTGTTTTCTGCGCGCTTTGCAGTGTGGGCGCAGCGTGGTGCAAGCAAGGCCCCCCCCCCCGGATTATTTTTAACGATTTTTGGCTCGGCCGTAAATCAGAGTAATGCCCGCCTAGGTGACTATGCAATGTGCGGGGGGTGGACGACCTGAGGGGGCTGGCTGCAGACCATGGTCTGTGTTTACTTCCCCCTCCCCTCCCCTCCGCAGCCACTTTCTCCCCGGGGAGTTAGGCAGCCAAACAACGCGCTCTCCGAACTTGTGGCATCTGCAGCGGAGCGCCCATCCCTGGGGAAAAGGGGGAAGGGGGGGGCATTGATCTCCACAACTACACACACCTGCAGAGGAGGGGGAGAAGGAGACGTGTCATTCATGCGAACAAACTTCACCTAACTCTAACTCCGGCAGCGAGGAGCGTCGAGTGTGTGTTTGTCGCTGCAGGCGCAGAGTTTCAGGAAGTGTCGAAAGTTGTCGAGCAGAAACAAAGACACCAGTCGGGACCTCCCTGGCGTGACGCTCCCGTTCAATGCAGTCCGCAATTTCGTTTGGGGTCTCTCTCTCCCTCTCTCTTCCACCTCGTCCGAGAGTGCGTGCGGCGGTGCGGCGGTGCGGTGTTTGGCCCCGCAGGCAGGCAGCCCCTTTGAGGGGGTGGCGGTGGCAGGCCGATTCCGAACGGGCGGCACTCTCGTCGCTCTGTCTCTCTCGCACTCCAGGGCGTCGCGTTGGTGCGACGGAGACAGAGCGACGGTGTTCGGATGAGGTCGCGGGGCGGGACGACGGGGCGCATCGGCCGCAGATAAGCCAAGCGCCTTGATGGCGTGCCAGAGTGGCAGTGGCCGCCCCGCCGCCCCGCCGCGGTCCCAGAGACATAAACCCACACGTTACCGCGTTACCGCCTACGGCTTCCTGACCACCGCCGCCGCCGGCCGCCACCTAACCTGTCATTTCCTCGGCGCCAACAGTGTGCTAGCTTCGCGATGCAGTGCCGCATCAAATCCAGTTTCGAGTCTCTGGCAGTGTAATGGCCGCCCGGATTAATGATCCGTGCGTGCCAACGCAATCAACTTGCGAAGCGGATCCGCGGCCGCGTTGCAGAGCGTTGCAGTGCCGGCGGGGCCGCGTAACCCCACTAGCACACTGCCGTCGCTCTGTCTCTCTCGCACTCGCGTCGCGTGTGGGTGCTCGGAATCAGCCTGCTTGTGCGGCTCGGGGACCGTGTCCCACCGCCACCGCGGCGCCGCGGTCGCCCCCTGTGGGGCCTGTGGGGCCCGTGGGGCCGCGCGGTGACGGAGTGCGCCGCGGCACGGAAGGCGGGGGCGGAGGAAGCAGACGCATTTTGGCGCTGCATGCCTCGCCTGGTCCGCCGCGCCCTCGGCGTGCTTGTAGTGTAGTGGCGCCGGCCCAGGGCTCCGAATATAGCCAGACACATTGCCCGCCGCCCGGACGCCGTCCAGGCCGAGCCAGTGACCCCGCCGCACCGCGGATCCCGAAGGACCGCCTCGTCGCTCTGTCTCTGTCGCACGCACGGCGCGTCCCGTAGGGGTGCGAGAGAGACGGACGTCTCTTCGGAATCGCTGTGCAGGCAGCTGCAGTCGCTCTGTCGGCTGTCGCACGCACGGCGCGTCCCGTAGGGGTGCGAGAGAGACGGACGTCTCTTCGGAATCGCTGTGCAGGCAGCTGCAGTCGCTCTGTCTCTGTCGCACGCACGGCGCGTCCCGTAGGGGTGCGAGAGAGACGGACGTCTCTTCGGAATCGCTGTGCAGGCAGCTGCAGTCGCTCTGTCTCTGTCGCACGCACGGCGCGTCCCGTAGGGGTGCGAGCGAGACGGACGTCTCTTCGGAATCGCTGTGCAGGCAGCTGCAGTCGCTCTGTCTCTGTCGCACGCACGGCGCGTCCCGTAGGGGTGCGAGAGAGACGGACGTCTCTTCGGAATCGCTGTGCAGGCAGCTGCAGTCGCTCTGTCTCTGTCGCACGCACGGCGCGTCCCGTAGGGGTGCGAGAGAGACGGACGTCTCTTCGGAATCGCTGTGCAGGCAGCTGCAGTCGCTCTGTCTCTGTCGCACGCACGGCGCGTCCCGTAGGGGTGCGAGAGAGACGGACGTCTCTTCGGAATCGCTGTGCAGGCAGCTGCAGTCGCTCTGTCTCTGTCGCACGCACGGCGCGTCCCGTAGGGGTGCGAGAGAGACGGACGTCTCTTCGGAATCGCTGTGCAGGCAGCTGCAGTCGCTCTGTCTCTGTCGCACGCACGGCGCGTCCCGTAGGGGTGCGAGCGAGACGGACGTCTCTTCGGAATCGCTGTGCAGGCAGCTGCAGTCGCTCTGTCTCTGTCGCACGCACGGCGCGTCCCGTAGGGGTGCGAGAGAGACGGACGTCTCTTCGGAATCGCTGTGCAGGCAGCTGCAGTCGCTCTGTCTCTGTCGCACGCACGGCGCGTCCCGTAGGGGTGCGAGCGAGACGGACGTCTCTTCGGAATCGCTGTGCAGGCAGCTGCAGTCGCTCTGTCTCTGTCGCACGCACGGCGCGTCCCGTAGGGGTGCGAGAGAGACGGACGTCTCTTCGGAATCGCTGTGCAGGCAGCTGCAGTCGCTCTGTCTCTGTCGCACGCACGGCGCGTCCCGTAGGGGTGCGAGAGAGACGGACGTCTCTTCGGAATCGCTGTGCAGGCAGCTGCAGTCGCTCTGTCTCTGTCGCACGCACGGCGCGTCCCGTAGGGGTGCGAGCGAGACGGACGTCTCTTCGGAATCGCTGTGCAGGCAGCTGCAGTCGCTCTGTCTCTGTCGCACGCACGGCGCGTCCCGTAGGGGTGCGAGAGAGACGGACGTCTCTTCGGAATCGCTGTGCAGGCAGCTGCAGTCGCTCTGTCTCTGTCGCACGCACGGCGCGTCCCGTAGGGGTGCGAGAGAGACGGACGTCTCTTCGGAATCGCTGTGCAGGCAGCTGCAGTCGCTCTGGCGGCCTGGCGGACGCGCGCAGCGCAGTGCAGCGCAGAGCGCCCTATCGGCCGCGACCTACTTGGTGTGCTGCGCGGTGCTGCGCGGTGCTGCGGCGCGGCCAAACAAACAGCCTCGCCTGCTGGAGTGAGGCGGAGCACGCCGCCGACGCCCCGAACGACGCCGTGATGGACGACGCCAAGGAATTGGGCCGCGTCTGCCGCGTCTGCCGCGTCTGCGCCCCGACAGCCCCGATAGCACAAAAGGGCACTTCTCGGCGTTCCTGGCGGGGCAGCCATGGCGGCCGACTGGTGGTGGCTGTGCAGTGCGGGGCGTTACGGGGCCGCCTGGGAGCACATAGGCCGCCATAAAACGGCCAGCCAATGACCCCCGTCCTGCTGGCCCTGGTGGTCCTGCCGGTGGCGCTCCGTGCTCGGTCAGCGCGTCCCCAGAGCCAGGTTGGGGCGCCGCCTCCTTCCGCGTGTCACTGGTGTGCGTCTTCTCTCTCGCACTCTTACAGGAGGTAGAAAGGAAGAGGGAGACACACGACCGCAGAATCGGGAGCCAGGTGGGGCGCGCTGCACCGTGGTGACAACGGGGACAGGGTGCCGAATTGGTCGCCTGGAAGCTGGAAGCGCGCCACTACACTGGGGACTGGGGGCGGTGGGGGGCGGCAAGGGGCGGGAATGGGGTCGCCGAGGGGGGCGGGGAGAGGCATTGTGATGCGCCCCGATCCAGCGGCGCCCCCTCGTACACCTCGCCGCGAACGCCCTGCCAGCCAGCCAGCCAGCCCCCACAATGGCCTCTTTCTTCCCAGCTTTTCTCACCCTTGCCATTGATTGGCCCGGCGGGGCGGTAAGACACTGCCTGGCGCCGAGACGTGCCGCGGTCTCTCTCCACGGGGGCCACGAGTGCGAGAGAGACAGAGTGGTGTTCAGCCTGCAGTGTCTTACCGCCCCGCCGTTTATCAAATTCGGGCCGATACACACGGCTCCGGCCTATCGCCCCCACGCTCGACTCGGGTACGGAGTAGAGAGAGTCGCCCACCTCCAGCGCCCCCTCCTCCCGGGCAGACAGCGCGTTGCGTTGTGGGGCCGTAAAACATTCTCAACAAGGCGGTGGGGACGCTTTGCCACGTTTTGCGTGCAAATGAGTGCATGCCCGCGGACGCGTGGTAACGACGCCCCCGGGCCGCCGGGCCGCCTGGCCGCCTGGCCGCGCACCCATGGCGCCCATGTCGCCTCGCCCTGCCCACCTTGTCGCCAGTTGCCACCGAAACTTGCGGCATTAGAATTCATCAGCGGGCTCCACTTGTCGTCCGGGACTCTCCGTGGCAGTGCAGCAGCAGCGCCCCCTGGCGACGACCGCCGGAAGTAGCGGCTGGATCGCCGGGCCGCCTCCTTGCCCCGGACGGCCCGGACGGCCCGGACGGGGAACTAGGGCGTGGCGTCATCGACCCGCCGCCGCGGGTTCAAATACCCGCACCGCGTCCATGCTTTTCTGTCGTGTCTGTTGACACAGCTCCGCCCCAGCGTGGGCCCCCGGCTTGCTCCTGCTGGCAACCGAGGCTCAATTTGCGTGTTGCGCGGCACTGCCTCTCCAGGAGTCCGCCCGGCCGACCCGCCCGGCTCCACGAAATTGAACAAACTCGATAAGTCATTTGGGCCGTCTTCTCTGGAGGACCCCGCCAGGCACCGCCCGCCGCGCAGCCCGCCCCCTACCCTCGGCGACGTCCAGGACCCTCTCTCCGGTCGGGCCGCGGCGCACAGCGGCACGGCGGCACAGCCCGGCACAGCCCCAGGGCGTGGCGGCGTGGCTCCATCTGCGCGTCCATCTGCCCCTCTGTCCGATCAACCAGGCCCGCCATCTCGAGGCCACGTCTCTCGGTGGCGCCCCCAGCCCCCAGGTGGCATTGGCAGTGAAGCATCGCTTTATTTGCAGAGAGGGAGCTATCGTCGCCACGCCTTGGCAGTGCAGCGAACTGATTGATGGCTGCCCTGGCCTTATCGGAGGCGTCCCACGCTGCAACCTGCCGTGCCCTATCGGCCCTGCGACTACAAACTGCCCTACCACTACAGCGTGCCCTATGCAAGCTGCCCCTGCAACCTCCACTGTGAACTGATTCAGCACGTCGCCCTTTGTCTCTGTCGCACACTTGCGGGACGCCTCGTCAGTGCGACAGAGACAGAGCGACGACAACAATGTGCGGATTCGGTGTGTGCGACCTGCCTTGTGTGTCCTCTCCCTGCCGCCAATCTGGTCCCCCAATCGAATAAGCGAGTGGCGTCCCCGCTACGTTGTTATCTCGTCCTTGGGCCTTCCTCGTTCTTATTTTCTTTCCTTCTCTCTCTCTCTCTCTCTCTCTCTCTCTCTCTCTCCTCCACGTCGCGTCTCCGCAGCGTCGCCCCTTTTCCAATTGATTTAAATTTATCCCAACGCACCTCCCCCCTTCCCTCCCCGCACGCGCGTCTCGTCGGCCCCCTCTCCGTCTAACGGCGCCGTCACGACGCAGCACGCGTCACGCGGGGATCAGCCGGACCACTTTACGAGAGGAGAGGGTTGGCGAGAACGAGAATGGCCGTGTAAAGACCAGTGGAAGACACCGCCGTGCGTGCTGCCCCGCCGCTCCGCCGCTCCGCCCGGCAGCGCGACTTCCGCGCAAGTTTAAGTTAATCAACGAAAGGGCATTTACCTCGTTCATCCCTCCCTCCCTCTTCCAGGCCGGCGGAGCGGGGCTAGCCTCGCGGCGGGGCGCTCGCTCGTTCCCTTCCGCAGGGCTAGCCTCGCGCTGCGCCAACTTATTGCGTGCTCGACGCCGAGCTGTGGCCGGACTGATTCTAAGGGACGCCTCTCTCTCTCTCTCTCTCTCTCTCTCTCTCTCTCTCTCTCTCTCTCCCTCTCTTGGGGCGTCCCGATATAGGTGCGAGAGAGATGGACGGCCGCACTGCGCCGAATCACTCCGCGGTGGAGTCACGACCGGCCTACAGACCTCTACCTTCCGAAAGCACTTGCCAATCCCCCCCTTCATGTCACCTCGCTTGACAGGTTTGTCAACTATTTTCACATGATCATTTTTTTCGCAATGTGTCGCGGCCGGTCATGCCCTGCTCATAAAAGTTTTCCGCAGCCCCCGCGCGCTGGAGTAATTTGTGGCGCCGTGATTCGAGTCAAGTGGGGGGGAGGAGGGGGCCCAGCCGCAGTACGCGTGTTTTGCGTGGACGGAGCACTGAAATGGAGGGGTGGTGAGGGGCGGGGAACACGTGCCGCGAACGCAGGCCTCGACCTTTCGCTGCTGCAGGCCGACTCTAAACGACGCTTTCGTCTCTCTCACTCTCGCGGGGGCGGCCCGTAAGGGTGCGAGAGAGACGAGACACTGTTTCGAAACAGCCCGCTGGCCGCCACCGGGAAACCAGGATGCGCCATGCGCGGCGGTGGCGGATTTCCCCGCCACGAATAAGGGTGTTTCGCTGAAAGGTGCCGAGGGGGTGGGGGGGGGGCGGTTCCGCCCATTGACAACTTCCACGGCCCCCGGCCGCCACCGCGGAAGCGGTAGCGTGCCTGCACACTGGGGCACGGCGGCGCCAGCACACCTCGGCCACGGCCCCCGCGGCCCCACCCCCGTGCCGCCGCCCCCCGCCTCGCTGGCACCCTACTTTACTACCGGTTGCCTAGTTACAGGCGCCCAGGGAGCGCGCCTCTATCGGCGACGAAAGAACGTGCCCTTGTTTTAAGCCCGCTTTTATATCCGCATTCGGCGCAGCGGGGGCGCATGGAAATTCCTAAAGACGCTGGGTTTTCGAGATGCAGTAGCGAGGGCTGGCGCACGCCCACATTGTAGTTCGGATGCCGGATGCACGAGGGGGGTTCGCGTTGACTATCGCGCGACGTGAAATAACAGTGATCCCGCATCCATACTCAAACACGGCGTGGTTGGTGTACAGTAGTGTGTGCCGCGGGCCGGGCTTGCCGGGCTTGCCGGGCTTGCCTTTGTTGATCCACGCCCAACACGACCGACACGGAGCCCTCTGAAGCTCGGCCACGCCACGCCTCGCGGCCGCCACGGTCGCCACGCGTCCGCCTCGAAGCACACGAGTGATCTTCCTTTGAGCGGCACCGGGCTGTGTGTGGACAGCGCTGTGGACACGCTGTGGACACTTGGGGCCGCCAGGCCAGACCGCCACACACGGGGTTATAATAAGTCCACAAGCCGCCCTGCCCGGGGGGGGCAGCCTGCAACGACGAACGAGGAAAAAATCGGCCTAGCTCCCTCGGGAAGTGAAAGGGCGCGTGGGTCACCTTCCCTTTCCCTGTGCGTTAATACACGTCATTTGCGTAAACCCCCTCCCCGGCCGGGGTAACTTTTCCCGCCTCGCGATTAAGGACGCGCCGTTTGAACTCCGACCAATCACGGCGCGCTTCCGAGCGATTGCCCCGCCATGTGCCGAAGGCGATCCGAAGGGCGTAAGCGCCCCCCCCCCTCCCCCCTCCATGGCGCGCTCTCAGTGTTGTTGGTTGAAACAACACTCGGGCGGTTGTCTGTTCCTGGTCGTTCTGGAAAAGCCGAAAAGAAAGGCCGAGAGCGGGGGAGGCTGGCTGGCTGGCAGCAGGGGACCACTAAGGCCGTCTCGGTGCCTTCATTTCCGCTCGGCAAATGACCTCCGGGAGGAGAGGGGAGGGGCGGGGGTTCGCAAAGGCCGTCATCGTCTCGATCGTCAACCTGAAGGGGCTGCAGGGTGACTGTCGCGGTCGGCTTTGTTCGAGTTTGGTGACGCGGCGCTCGGTTGGGGTTGTCCAAACGGGCAAGATCAGCCACGACGGGTAGTCTCCCGCGCCGACCCTTCGACGCCGACCCTTTGACGCTGTCCCTCCGACGCCGTCCCTGGACAGCCCTCCGCGACCACACCCTCCAATCGCATTTTGGGCGCATTGCTGTATTGGCATAGGGGAGGCAGGGTGGGGGAGGCGAGGCGCGCCTGGATTCCACAAACAACACCAAGCCAAAAGTCAGTTCGTTGTTGTTTTCTCTGTTTCCTTGTGCCCGTTTTAAGGAAGGGCGCAAAAAAGAGGATCCCGCTCTTTCATTCGGGATTCACTGCCTTGTGTACCTTGCTGTTGCTGGAGAGGGTGATGACATTTCCAGGCAAACACCCCCCCCACCCCCACCCCGCACCGCATGTGGCGCTCCTGCTGGAAACTCCGGGAAGCCTTTTCCTTTTTTCCCTGTCCCTTCTCGTTTATTCATCCCCTTCTTTTCCCCCTTTTTTTCTGGACGTTTATTGACAGCGGGGCGGCAAGCCGCACCCCGCTTGTCCTGATCCTGTGGCCACGACACTTTTCCTTAACTGCAGCTCAGACCTACACCGGCTCGATCCTGGTGGCCGTCAACCCCTACAAGGAAGTGGAGATCTACTCGCCGGTAAGTCTACCCAACTTTGTCTCATTATTACCAGCTTATTTATCGATAACGCGCTCGTTAATCGAATCACCGCACGCTTAGTTTCTTCCGCTAAGCCAAGTGCGTTGTTGATAGTGTAATTAGGCGTAGCCCATGATGGCGCAGTTAAGGGCTTGCCCTGTGTGTTCGGGCCGACCTCTGCTGAGTGTGTGCGTCGGCGTGTGTGTGTGTGTGTGTGTGTGTGCGTGCGTGCGTGCGTGTGCGTGTGCGCTTACCGCGGACGCTAGGGGCCCAGACTTAGTGTATTAACATAAGTCCTCAGCACAGCTGTTTGCATGTATTACCGCGGGGGCGAGTCCACGAAGGATGGCGGGAGAGGACGGGGGGCCGTTGCGGGGGCCGTATGACCAAGCTCAAACTCCACCACTACTGATTCCAAGGGAGGGGCTGGACCCACTACTCCGTGTACTGTACCACGACGGCGATCGCCTGCCAGCGAAATCAGTTTCACTGCATGAAGAGGGCGCTGAGTAGCGATTCACGGTCGCCATAACATTGCCTTGAACAACGGTTATTCTGAGCGGCTGGTTCTTTTCCCGAGTCCACCGCCGTCGCGGTGTGTAATGGCGTGGCCTCGGGGCGGGGCGGGGCCCGGGGGACGGCGTCGGTATTTCTGGTGTCATTGCTGAGGGAGTTAGGACCGACGGCATCGACCTCTCCCCAGCGCCCTACGCCGTGCGCCTCACCGTGCGCCCTGCACCGCGTCCCGCAGACTGATTCCGCTTTCGCCGCTCTGTCTCTCTCGCGCCTATACGGGACACGCCATCAGTGTGACAGAGACAGAGCGGCCCTCCTCGCCTCCCTCGCGGAGCCCTCCTCGCCGCGACGTTCAGACCAAACGAGCAGCACGTCATCTTCCCCCCGGGCTCGAATGTCCCTCCTCGGCAGGCAGGAGGGGCCTCCCCGCCGCCAGCACCGCCGGCAGGCCGATTCAGAGCACTGCTTGCGTCGCTCTGGCTCTCTCGCAGTCGTGGGGCGTCCCGTTGGGGCGCGAGAGAGACAAGCGACGATGCACTGTTCGCTCCCCGTCGACGTAAGCAGCAGCGTCATCAACGTCTACCTGGCCGCTGCAGTGCCTGCAGTGCGAGCGACGCGACGCCCCCGCGCAGGCTGCTGACTTGACTGGCCGAAAGGCAAATTCGGACTCATTTGAATTCCTCTCCTGGTCGGGCCGGCTGGCCGAGAGCGGCGAGTTGGCAGCGAGTCAACAGTCAGCGCAGCAGAAAGACGTGTCGTAGTCCGGTTTCCGGTGGAGTGCGTGCCGCGTGCCGCACGCGCGTGCCTCCTGCGCCGCCATGACACGCGGACGATGGCACGTGGCCGATCACACGTGGCCGGTGATGATGACGCTTGGACGTGGCCGATGACAGCAGCCACTCGGGGCAGCAAACGCCCGGCAGGTAGGCCACCACCGCCCCGCGACGCAGTGGTGCCGCCGGGTTGCCTACCTCGCAGGCTGTGGCGTCTGCTTCCAGTGCTTCCGCCGCAGCAGGCTGATTCCGATACTTCGTCGCCCCGTCTCTCTCGCACTCACGCGGCGCACCGTAAGGGGCGCGTGAGAGACAGAGCGACGAAGTCCTGTTCCGGAAGCAGCCTGCAGCGTGCGGAAACGCTGGAAGCAAGCGAAGCAAGCAGAGTCGCGTACTTCCGCGAGGGGCGCCGGGACCATGAGTGTCGCGCCACTGCCCATGTGGGCTAATTTATGTGTGGAAAGTGCACCATGAGTGGCCTGCAACCCCGCCGTGGTGGCCCCCCCCCCCCCCCCTAGAGTATGTGTTTGTCGGGGTGGAGGCTCGCCTCGCCACATATTCATCAGGCAGATGTGTGACCCCCGGAGCTCTCACGCGGAAGGGACAAAATCCTGGAAACAAGGGGAACGGCATACGGCCGGCAGCAGCGGGCGAGGCCGGGCACAGCTTGTGCGGGCGGGGCGGCTGGGCTGGGGTTGTCCGGGAGAAGATGACGTCTGCCTCCGGACTCCGGACCACCGATTCAATAATGCAGACCGAGTTGTGCTTCTGAGGGACTTGGAAAGTTTGGCGTCGGCCCGAGCCCCGAGGAGCCAGCACTGCCGGCAGACGGCATGAGTTCGCCTCGCCGCGCACGCGAGGCTACATGCCTCGAAGAGAGCCTCACTTTGATTTTCCATTTTTCATCGCGACTGTCGTTTACGATCTACCATAATCATCCTGGACGCTACTGTACTCTCCCCCCCTCCCCTCGCCCTCGCGAGCGCGATGTAAAATTTAGACTTCCGATGCGACCGCGCGCTCTGGCGGTGCCCCCGGCATGACGGATGTAAAGGGCGACGTTTCGAGTCGCAGCACGTCCACGCATTGACTTATCCCGGGCCGGGGCTGCGACCGCCCTCCACACTGTGCGCCCCGCCGCCCCGCCCCGTGCGCCCTCGCCAGGAGGGTGGCCTGGCCTGCCCGTGCTGCCGCCGGATTGTGCGCAAACCTGGCGGGCTGATTCCGAAGCAATGTTCGGAATCGGCCCCGGCGCCGTGCAATCCCTGTCTAAGTCGCGCGGAATGTAATTCCTTCTCCCGCAAACACAATGGGACTGAATAAAACACGCCGCCGCCGGCTGGACACGAAGCAGATTGATTTCGCCGTCGTCGCTTGCTTTATTGGGACTGAGTGTGTGTGCGTGTATGTGTGTGTGGAAAGGGGGTGGAGGGCTGCTTCGGCGAAAGAGTTCCGTTTTTCTTTTTTTTATATATCCGTGAGGCATTCCATTAGCACCGGGGGAGCGTAGTGTATTATTTTGTGGCGCCTCCGACAACGCAACCCCTCTCTGGGGGCGGGGCGGGGCGGGGCGGGGCGGGGCTGACAGCTGACGGATGGCGTGGCTGGCCTAGGGCAGCCTGCCCGGGGCCTTACGACCGAATGCGCTGCGCGGGAACAAAAGCCGCTGCCTTTCGCGGCTCCGCGGCGCCGCGGCCGCTACACCACAAGTCGGCTGCAGCTGTTGCAGCTGCCGATGGCCGAGCAAGCGGGGCAAGCGTCTGAGGCAACGAGCAGCCCGAGCGGCAGCAGAAGGCGAAGGCAGGCAAGGCAGCCACCCCCTCTGGGGCTCCACGTCGTCGGTGGCTTATCCAGGGTGATAATGGAAAGGCCTGCCGCCCCCGCCGGCCGCGTCCCGCCCAACCACTTCCAGGGCCTGACGAAGTAAAGCAATAACAAGGCCGGAGCCTGCAGCCTGGAGGCCTCCCTGGAGAGCTGGAGGGCGGCAGGGCGCCGCGGCGCCGCGTGTGTTGCCCTGCCCTACTTTACAGCCACGCCCTAGCGGCCCCAGCTCGCTGCACCGCCCGCCGCGCCCCGCCGCGCCCCGCCACTCCGCGTGTTTGCACTTCCTTGACCTGGAAACGGCTGGCCCGGCCGAGTCCTCGACACACGTCACTTGTTGACGTCCTCGGGGACGCGGCCGGGGCGCGCCGTCAAAATCGCGGGACTCGGATTTGAACACTGTTGACACTGTTGGAGGGAAGCGCGCGCCTGTTCCGGCCGCCGGCAGTGCGTTTCAGGGGCTGGTTGGCGGCGTGGAGGACGTCGTCGGCCGCGGCCAGGATGACGACGACGACCACGACGTCGCCCCACGTGGTCCGCACCGCCAGGACGCCGCCAGGGCGTGCTCGCTTGCGCACGCCACGCAGCCCGGACTTGGGCGTGGCTGGTATCGATCACCTAGTTCCGCAGCTTCCCGCTAGCGCGCCCGGCGCTGTGGCGCCCTGAGGCCCCCGGCCGGCCCACCCCTAGGTCCCTAGGTCCGCCCCCACCGCCCCCAACGCCCACTCGTGCCTCAAAGCATTCTCAGATTAAGTCAAGTGACGCCGACGCCGGCCGTGGACTCTCGTGGCCAATGGGGTGCATGACGGCAGCTAATCTTCATTTTTATGAATAAACCGAGGCGGGGCGGCGCGGTGCGGGGAAGGTCGCCGACCGGGAGGCCGGCCGAAGCAGGATGAATGGACGCCGAGCCGACATCCCCGCCAAGGCCTCCAAGGCCGCCAAGGGGATGAGGGAAGCGCAAGCTGCTCGGGCTGGTTCGCACCAGTCCTGCCACCGCCGGGACACCGGCCTGGAGTTAGAGAGAGAGAGAGAGAGAGAGAGAGAGAGAGAGAGAGAGAGAGAGAGAGAGAGAGAGAGAGAGAGAGAGAGAGAGAGAGAGAGAGAGAGAGAGAAGGGGAGTTTTTGCGAGCTGGCCGTCCTAGAGTCTCGGCCACTCGGGCTGGGAGGGTCTCTGCAGTGGGACCGTTTACGTCTTCATGGCTCTCGCCTCGGATGCTGTTTTTGCCGCGGCCTGGTCCGGCCTGGGGGCCTCCACACAATACGACACATCACGCGACAACCCCAACCCCGCCCAACCCTCGTCTCGCTGGACAGTGTGCGCGTGTGTGGGTGTGAGTGTGGTCGGTGGGGGCGTGTGTGGTGGTCCGAAGCGAGAAATGAGTGCTACCTACGCAGCGGAAAGCCAAGCGGCCCGAGGTGAACGCCCCCCATTGGGCCAACCCCCCCACCCCCACCCCCTTGCTGCCCCTGTTGCCCCCCTCGCTTGGCCCTCCCCGCCCGCCACGCCCTGCGTTCCACAGAGTTTCCCGGGGATGACGTTGTCTGCCCTGCTGGCTGATTCCGAACACTCTGCTGCCGTCGCTCTGTTTCCCTCCCACTCATGATGGTGCCCAGGCGGTGCGAGGGAGACAGCACTTTTTCTGACAGTGGCGCGGTGGACTCGAGTTGGACGTGCTGCCTGCACTGCAAAAAGGAGTGCGGTCCGGCAGGCTGGGGCAACCGGGGGCGTCGGGGCGCATGTGGTCGAACTGGCAGACCGCTAACGGTGGTTATTCGAGCCAATTTGGCCCTAACTCGGTTTACAGCGGGACGAGCGGGACGAGCGGGACGAGGGCGAGGACGTGGACGAGGGCAGACTCTAGATAAAGCTCCCCGCCGTGCCCCGAGGCGACCCCCGCCTGTCCAACGTGGTGGACGGGGGCAGAGCGCACTTCCCGATCGAGGAAAGAAAAAAAACAACAAAAGAGGAGGGCTTTTTAAAAAAGGAACGCAAATGAAGAACACACCAAAAGAGTAAAACACCAAGAAGGACGCACTGAAAGAGGAACGCGAAAAACGGCCGCTCTAGAAACGAGCGTCGCACACTCGGTTTCTTACACGAAAACTTGAAACAGGTTTCGGCAAGTGGCGTGGTTCCACGCGGGGGCGTAAGTAGGTGGCGCAGTAAGGGCTTTTCCACTTTGCGTTGATTAAACGGAGTTTCGCTGCGCGGCCCTGCTGCTGTACCCGTGACCTGGTTTCCTCGCCCTGAGTGCGCGCCCGTGTACCGAGCTGGCCGGGCGGGGCGGGGCGGGGCGGGCATGGAAGATTATCCGAGGGTGATCCTCCCCGCCGGACTTGGCCGCGGACCGCGTGCTCCTGTTCCCGCCTGTTGGATGCCCCTTGCCGGCCTAGCCCCGTTCGTCGGCCATGACTCCGATCCAATCTTCCGCTGGCTGCTTCACTTTGGGAACGGAGAGAGAGGCCCGAAAGGACCCGCGGAGGGGGAAAATACTGGGCGGGAAGGGAAAGCCCCGCCACAAGCGTTTCACGACATCGTTGTTATTGGGCCTACGTTCTCTTTAAAGCCGATTTAACAATCACTGTAAAATTTTTGCTCTTTTCGGGATCGGTTGCCAGCCAAGGGTCGTTTGCCAGTGTAAGGGCCCGGTCCTACACGGCGACACCCTCGCGGCCCCGCGCCCTGCGCCCTCGCCGTCAACCCTCATCCGGTGTCCTCTGGCCGGGTTCGAGGGGCGCGCGCAACCCATGCCCCCCCCCCCCCCCATCGACGGCCCGGCATTCACACCTCGGCGGAAGCCGCCCCGGGAATTCAATTTCCACGAATTAGTCGCGAGGGTGCGGCCGGTCGGCGAGTACCCGCCGTGGAATAAAATTCCACAGCGACCAGAAGAACGGTGCGCTGAATATTCCAGATTGGCCGTTTTTCTCTCAGGGTCCGCGGTGGGTACACTGAATGCCGGTAATTCGATTCACGGAAGAGAGAGACGGAGAGCGCCCCCATCATCGCGGCCCGTGTTCGAATACCCAGCCCCATTTGCAAAGGCACCCTCGCTTTGTTTCGGACCCCATTCAGGCAGTTCATCCGGTCCATTCTATCCCATTCAACTATCTCGCCTCTCCGTCTATCCGCCCCCGCTAGCTCTATCCCTTTCTACTCCGAGGGGCTGCGGCGGGAATGAGGCGAGGCCGGGCGACGTCGCGGCGTGACGTCGCGGCGTGGAACGCGTGGCCCTGGCGGCACGGGCAACAGCCCGGCGGGTAGGGGAGCGCGGGGCCGTCCGCCGCGCGGCCTGGTCGCCTCGCCAGGCGCTGAGCGCGCTGAGCGCCCCCACACACTGCAAAGCGCAGCGACTCCCCTCTGTCTCTCTCGCACCCACACACGGATCGCCCCGCGAGTGCGACAGAGACAGGGCGACACGGGACCGCGTTCGAGCACATAGCCTGCTGCGTTTATTGGAAGGCCGCCGCCTTTGTGCTGATGGAATTCAATTACTATTTTCATTTTTTCCGCGTCTGGCGGCTTACTTCTCTCCCATCTCGCGCGCAGACAGAAAAGAAAAGAACGCGGTTATCGGCTGGTGGAGCCTTTAGCCGGGGCGTCGTGTCTCTTTGTTTGTGGAAAGGTCACTGTTTGGTCATGTTTGCACCGTGGCGTGCGCTCGCGCTGACGAACGTGTTGCACCCCGTGGCGTGGCGTGGCGTGGCGCCGGGGTGAGTCACCCACCGGCCTGCTGGAGCCGGACACAGCCAAGTGCCCCTGGCCTGGCGGGCCTGGCGTGCAGCGCGGCGCCCTAACCAATCAATATGACCAGGAGGCTGATTCCGAACAACAGCGCTCTGTCTCTGTCTCTCTCCCTCTCTCTCTCTCTCTCTCTCTCTCTCGCTCTCTCCGCGCGGCGCTCCGAAGGTGTGCGAGAGAGACAGAGCCCGTTGGGCAGGGCAGCGTGTGCTGACCACCGGGCCCGCCGGTCGCTTTTATGAATTAAGGGTGTGCATGCGGGGCGCGCAGCACAGCGCGCGGGGTGACGGTCGTCATCGGCTCGTTTATCTTTGTCGTGTCAGCGGCGCGCCCTCTGTGTGTGTGTGTGTGTATTTGTGTGCGCTGCAGGTGCGTGCGGGGACAGGGCGCGCCCAGCTGCGACCCTCGCGCCCCTCGCGGGGCCTGGGGCAGCCTGGGGCAGCCTGGGGTCGCGGAGGGGAAGGGGTACCGTACGTTGCACGCGAGAGCACGACCCCGCCGCCTGCCTCCCCGGCTGCGTGTGAACCGCTGTGCGAACGGGGCCAGGTCACCGGTGGCGGCGGAGGGTCGAAAGCAAGGTATCAAAGTGACGTTCCCATGCGAAGACTGTGGCGAAAGGCCCGGTGATCCTCCCTTCCGTCGTAAAGCTCGCGAGGGGAGAGAGAGAGCCTCGCACCCTCAAACGCGCGTCCGGGCCGACCGAACGACGCACGCCGCACCAGACACCACCCCTCCGGCTCCGACCCTCGACCCAGCCAAATGCACAAGTCGATTACTGCAGTAAACCGGGTAAAGGACCCAACTTGCGCTCCCTAGACCTCCACGCGACGCTCCTCAGAGCAAGAGCTCCCTCGGGATGGAGCGAGAGTTTTACGGTGTCGCCGGGCAGTTAGGCAACCCTCTGTCTCTCTCGCACGCCGACGGGACGCCCCGAGAGTGCAACACAGCGCGGCGTGGACGGCGTTTGACGAGTTGCTTTCCGTTTGGCTGCTGCAGGAGTTCGTGTTCAACTACCACGGCCAGAAGCTGGGCCTTCTCGAGCCGCACGTGTTCGCCCTGGCCGAGGCGGCCTATGCCTCCCTGCAGGCCGCCAACGAGAACCAGTCCTGCGTCATCTCGGGCGAGTCCGGCGCCGGCAAGACGGAGACCACCAAGTTCATCCTGCAGTACCTGTGCTCCGTCACCAGCAACGTGTCCACCTGGGTGGAGCAGCAGATCCTGGAGGCCAACACCATCCTCGAGGCTTTCGGTGCGTACCACAACTTTCTTCTTTGAACGCATAACACTTCTCCTGAAACAGTTTACAGGGCTTTGAATGGGCCGGTCGGTCCTTTTCCACGCTTTCTCGGTGCTGTCTCTTTCTCCTGACCCCAAGACCACACCACCCCCACCCGCCGCGAAGCCCCACCTTGCGCGCCCTCCGGTACGGCTAGCCAGCAGACTGAATCCGAGAGTCGTTCTCTCTCCCTCTAGGCGTCTCGTATAGGTGCGAGAGAGACGGGGCGACTCTCGGAATCAGTCTGCAGGGGCCTGACGGCCTGCCGGGGGGAAAACGACAAGTGGGCCAGCGCGCCGGTGCCCCCTGGCCCCCATGACCCACAGAGCCCTGAGCAAGCCCCTGAGACAAGCAGTTTGTAAACACACGGCTAGCGTTGCCTCGCCGCCAGCGACCCGAGCCCCCTCACATGCAGGGAAGACCGTCACGGTAGGCCTCTCCTCTGCTTTGCATTCTAGCAGATTGGAAAGTTCTCTTGGGATAAATGTGAGATGCAGAAAAAAAAAACGCTGGTGTCGATTTATGACTTTATTTCACAATTCCACAGGTCTTAGGCATGAGGTAATCTGAAAAGTGTCAATAACGACGAACAGTAACAGCTTTTCAAGTTCTCAAATGGGCTGGGGAAAATTATTGCCATAAAGAACGTAGTTTGTAATGACCTACACAAACAATGGTTCAAGAAATAAGGCACAAAGTTTGAGGGAGAAAACAGACTGAGGCACATTGATGAAAGGAAATGATCATTTTAAGCAATGTTTCTTGACAAGAAATTGTCTAAAGCTATTTATTAATAACTATAAACAAGATGTACAAAAGGTAAAAAATAATGTTAACAGGTACATAAATTTAAATGTTGAAATTCAAGAATCAGCAGAAATGTCATTGTCAGCTTGTACAAGGTCACCTGATACGCAATAAGAGGGGATACAAAAATTGATTCCTATAAAATAATTGTAAATAAACTCCTTAAAACCATTCAATTGTCGATGAATGCTCAACAGATGACAGAATCTATCAATTCTTGAAGCAAAGATCCAGGTCCCCATAAAACTAGATTTTTGATTCATAATTTGCCACAAAGCTGTCAGTTTACATTTATTGTGACTAGATGCCATAGTGACATTTGGTATATTGCTGTCTCAAATATTTTATAATACTATTCAGCACAACATGTTTCACCCAACACACCATCAAGTATGAGTGGCTGGGGCTAAGGACAGTTCAGTATATCACAAATATCAAACATTTGTAGTTCCTACAAAAATATAAACAGCAGTTTCAAGAAAAATCTTAGTAAGTTGACAGGGACCATCCAAGCCACTGGGAAGGGCCTAGAGTGACAAAACCTTCACAAGAAAGAGGAATCCCAGATCTGCACCAAATCTAATACAGCCTTAACATCAATCATTATTGAGCCCCAATTTGGTCCATGAAGTAAGGTCGTCCATTGTTATTCAAACGACGAGTCAAAATTTCTACACCTGTATCAGTTACTAGCAACGTTTCTTCAAACTGTGCAGATAGGAGACCATCAATAGTCACTGCAGTCCAGTTGTCAGGCCATATTTCATCTCGCCAACTACCTTGAGATATCATAGGTTCAATAGTGAAGCAGTGGCCTGGCTTCATGACACCCACCGCTTTGTTTTTGGCATAATGTGGAACACTGGGTGCAGTGTGGAACAAGCTATGAATGCCATGGCCACAATAACTACGCACAACAGAGAACCCATTGGCCTGAGCGTGCTTTTGAATGACATTACCAATCTCTCGATACTTCTCTCCTGGCTTGACTATCTCAATAGACTTCTGCAGGCACTCCCACGTTGTTTCAACCAGCTTCTTCGCCTCTGGCTTGGGTTCGCCCACAAAGAACGTCTCATTCAGATCACCATGGTAGCCTCTGTGGTACACGGTGACATCAACGTTGCAGATATCCCACTTCTTGAGGGGCCTCGTGTCAGGAATACCGTGGCAGATCACCTCATTCACAGACGTGCAGCAGGACCTCGGGAACTGGATGTAGTTGAGGGGCGACGGGTAGCACTCACGCTCCACGCAAGCCTCGTGCACAATGCGGTCGATCTCGTCCGTTGTCACTCCGACGTCGATCACTTTGGCCGCCTCGTCCAGCACCTCGCGGCCCAGCCGGCACGCCACACGCATCCCCTCCATCTCCTCGTCGTCCAGGGCCTTGATGTAGGAGGCGCCCTTGACGCGCTGCTCGGAGATCGGCACGCCCTCGGGGTGGTCGGCATAGTCCGGCCTCTGGATGTGCTTGGGCACGGTGCGGGGCGTAGTTTGGGGGAACGGCCGCAATCGCCCAGTGTACCGGTAGCTAGGCCATGGGTTGTACTCCTTCTCCACCTCGCTGGTCTGCTCACCCTGAGCAATCTGGTGGATCACCTTGTGCTTTTTCCAGCTCTTCTTGAAGCACTCTTGAGAGCAGAAGTAGGAGCCCTGGATGCCGAGTTTGATACAACTTGGACATTGCAATTTAGCAGGAGCATCGCAGCCCGGAGATTCACACATACGTCCAACCTCGATGGTCGCCATATTGCTTCTGAGCAGTAGCCGTTCCGGACGGTATTGCCAACACACGATCACACAAAGTAGTCTTACAAGCAGTCTCTCGTGGATAAAATTTTTTTAAGAAAGTAAAATTTAAAGAAATTTTATCTCTAGATAAAGAAATAGAATGTGGCCTTTCAAAATTAGTTCCTAAATGCTGTTTACGCAGATTCTAGATTTGTGTTTGTGGGGTTGGTAATATTCCTGGCTCAGTCATTTGTCCTCCAGTTCGAGAAGGCGTCGCCTAGCCCAACACTAGTGCGCGAATTCTCAAAACATTCGAAACTAGTTTAGTTCAGTATGGTTTATGTCGGGTTTTTTAATAAAGTCAAATCAGATTCATGTTTTCTAATTTTCTTTGAGGTAACAGTGTTTTTAATTATAAGGGTTACACTGTCGCACTTGCCATCCCCTCAAAGCTTTATTTTTCTAACCCAAAAGTGTTATCTATTTTTTTGTTTATTTCTGTTCACAGGCAATGCTAAAACTGTCCGCAATGATAACTCGTCGAGGTTTGGGAAATTTATGCAAGTTTGTTTTGATAACCGGTGGATGATAAAAGGATGTATCATTCAGGACTACCTGCTCGAACAAAGTCGAATAACATTTCAGAGTCCTCAAGAACGCAACTATCATGTCTTCTATCAACTAGTGGGTGGTGCTAAGGTAAAGAAACATCGAACTTTTATTTTTTTTTTATAAATATTTTGAATTTTGTTCTTTTAATTACCATCAACTTTTGTTTCATTACAGAACAACAAAGAGCTTGCTGACCAATATCATTTAAGATCAGCAGACTTTTACAAATATTTAAATCAATCTGGCTGTACTACTATTGAAGGTGTTTGTGATGCAAAGAAATTTGACGCACTTCGCCTTGCATTCAATGTTGTACACATTCCATCCAGTATGGTGGATGGCATTTTTGGTGTTTTGTCTGCTATTTTATGGCTTGGAAATACAGTTTTTGAGGTCAGTACTTATCAATTCAACTTGCGCTGCACTGGTTTGCCTCCTTTTAAATTTTATTTAATAAGTATGTAACTCTTTTACCAGGATGTGGATGGTGAACGTTGTGAGCTGGCTGCATCAGACAAAGAAGTTGTAAATAAAGTTGCTCAGTTATTAGGTCTTGAAGAGAATGAAATTGCTCAAGTCTTGCTCAAAAGACAAATTAATGTCCGTGGTAATATTACTGAAATTCCATTAAAACTTCAAGAGGTAAACTATTTATCTTCAGTTTCTTTAATTAATCTTGTTTATTAGAACTTACTTGTGATTTATTTATTTTTACCATTTTTGTTCTTCAGGCGGATGAAAACAGACATGCTATGGCCAAGGCTCTCTACTCAAGGACATTTGCATGGCTTGTGAACCACATTAATACGTGCACCAATCCAGGAAAAGATGCTCAAAGATTTCTTGGTGTTTTAGATATTTTTGGTTTTGAGAACTTTGCTGTAAACTCTTTTGAGCAACTCTGCATCAACTACACCAATGAGAAACTCCACAAATTTTTCAACCATTATGTGTTTGCATTAGAGCAGGAAATTGTAAGTTAAATAGTGTCGTCAATATTAATCCGCTCCTTATGTGATATTCAAAGTCTCTGTTCATTTTGTACTGTCTCCTCTTCCAGTATCGACAAGAAGAAATTCAGTTTTCTCACATAACATTTACGGATAACACATCCTGTTTAGAACTTGTGGAACGACCTCCCAGGTGCATTTTGAAATTGCTCACAGAACAGTGCCACATGCCAAAGGTACAACATCTTATCCTACATATTTTTTCCCTCAAACATTTTTATAACTCTGTGGTGTGTATAAATAACCTGTTTGATTTTCAAATTTTTATTCTCAGGGCTCAGATCTTGCATATCTAAACAATCTCCACTCTGAATTTGATAGTCATCCACAGTATGTCAAAGGAGAAGACAAGAGAAACTGGGAGAAAGAATTTGGAATCGTCCACTATGCTGGGGCTGTGACGTATAATGTTACTGGATTTGTAGACAAAAACCGAGATGTGCAGCAGGACGTATTCTTTGACTTTCTTTCACGGTCCAAAGTTGACTTTGTCCAAGAACTCACAGCTTTCCAGGCAAGAAATAATTTTGAAATTCCTAAGCTGCCAGTGGCATTCGTTTTAAAAACATTTGCCAATCATATTTTATTCTATTTAGGATCTGCTCAGCTGCACAACAGCTAGAATGGGTAATGTCAATGGAGGCACCCAACAAACAATGGCTAGAGGCACTAGCAAGGGAAAACCAACAGTCAGTGATACTTTCCGCCACCAACTACAGGCACTTGTAGATGTACTTCAAGCCACCAACCCATGGTTTGTTTTCTAATTTAAATTTTTAATTTCTTATTCTACAAATTTTGTTTGTAACTATAAACCTTTGTGTACAGGTATGTCCGCTGCATCAAACCCAATATGCACAAGGCTTCCAACAATTACAATGAAGCTCTTGTTCTTGATCAACTGAAGTACCTTGGTATGCTGGACATTATTCGCATTCGTAAGGAGGGCTTTCCTATTCATTTCACCTTTGAAGATTTCATGGGTCGCTATGGTTGCTTGTCCAGAAATCGCAAAAAGCAGCCAAATATTAAAGACGCAGTGAGGTAAAGAGTAATCCTAAGTAAAATAGTATATAACTGACAAGATATTGAAATTGATGCTAATACTGAACTGTTTATTTTGTTTGGTTGCCAAACTAGGGCCCTGATCAAACAATTTGAAATCCCTGCAAAGGAGTGGCAGATTGGAAAGACTAAGGTGTTTTTGAGGGGGTGTGCTCATGAGCCATTGGAAGATGCACGCATGGTACTCACAAACAAATGTGCTCTCATCATTCAAAGAGTATGGAAAGGTCATCGCATTAGAAAAGGTAATAAGCTCAAACACTTAATAATTTAATTCCAAAACTTAAAACAATATTGCAGTTAATTTTAATGTTCTATTCGTTTTTCCCTCCTCAGAGTTTGTCAAAAAGCGCAATGCAACCATGATGCTTCAGCATGCATACAGAGGATGGAAGCAAAGACTATCATTCTTACAAATGCGTCGTGCTGTGATTGTTATCCAGTCTCATCTTCGTGGTGTCTTTGCTAGAGAAGTAAGTTTGCTCTTCCTTTACAACTATATATTTAATGTAGGTTTTTCTTGTAGTCCTAGTAACACATTCTGTTTATCCTTCAGGTGGCAGCTGCTTTACGTGAAATGCGTCGGGTTGAAGAAGAAATGCGCAAGCGAGAAAAACTAGAAGAAGAACGGCGACAGAGGGAGTTGGAGCGTGCTGCTCGAGAGCAAGAACAAGCACGGTCTGAAAAAGAGTTGCAACAAGAACTTGAAGACTGTGAGAGGTAAGTTTGCCATAAATGTCGTTTTTTAATGAAGTCTCAGCCCTATGACTGGGACTTGAAAGCAAATAAGAGAGTTCAGATGTTTCAATCAACTGCATATTTTTTTTATTTCAAGCCAATACAACGGCTTGAGTGGAATGGAGGCTGGGTGAGTTCACATACTTCAGGAACCAAACAGTATGGCCTTCTTTTGGCCCAGAAACTTCTTTCCTTTTTTCCTATTCACATCTGATTTCTGTTGCTGCACCCTAGCTTCCTGTAAGAAGTACAGTTGATCAGTTTCAGTTACTGAGCAGTGCTTGATGAACCAGACTGTTGTAGCATTGTGTGTGCATGAAGTTGAATTTTCACTTGTGACTTATCTTGTTCTGTAGTTTTTGGCATATATTTATAGTCTTTTCATAATTCAGATCTACTACAGATGAAAAACTATGGTTGGCAATCTTCTTATGCTACATTTCTATTTAATATGGGTAGATAGTGCTTATCTGAACTCAATTATATTGCATGTGCTCTGTACCGCTCTGTATTTTCAGAATTCATCATTCCTTATTCCTTTGCAGTAAATTAATCTTAAATCTAATTATTTTAAAATAAAACTTATATTATAGAAGGTCATAAACCTGACCACTTATGCCAATATTTTATTTTGCAGGGCTGCTCAACAAGAAATAGCAGCGTTATCAGAAATTGCAGGACAACTCAATTCAAAATTAGCAGCAAGTGTCTCAGAACAATCAGGGGAGTCTGTTGACCTAGATAATTTATTTGCATTCTTATCAGATGTGCAAACTGGTCAGAATGTCAACAGAAACCACATCATTGATCAAATTGGTGAACAAATGGATGAGTTGGTTGGAGATTTAGATGTGGAGGTATGAACCGGTTAAGATGTGTCTTTTTGAAATCATTCAAAGTGTGCAATCATTTAAATTTGTTTTTACTTTGCAGCTTGAAACAGTAATCCAGCAAGAATTGGAAGGCCTTACTGGACAGCCCCAGCCGCCGTGTAGCCTGGACTTGCCTCACCAGATGCGAGGCTGCTCTGCTCCCAAGTGCTCCAAACCCACCTTGCCCGAGCCAACTGAACCTCCGCCACCTCCACCGGCCTTCGCCAACCAGGGGGCGCCCCCTCCTCAGCCACCCCCAGTCTCGCCCCCAGAGCCACCCTCGCCGTCAGTTCAGGTTCGTCAACAAACCGACCCAAATTTATTTTGAACCGTAAACCTCAGCCAGGGTAGTAAATCTGACTTTTTCTCTTTTTCCTTGAACAGAACACGCCACTGACGCCGCCCACCACGTTCCAGACGGCGCCCGCGCCAGCCACCAACGCCAAGAACGAGCCCATCTACGAGAGTGTGCTGCCGCGGAACGACGGCTGCGTGTCGCCGCCGCCCCTGCCGGCACCGCCTCACAAGCTGCGGCCCAAGAGCCCCTGCGTGGAGCGGCTGCACACCCAGACGCGCAGCCGGGGCTCCAGCCCCAACCCCATCCACAGCACCATCCCCAACCCGATCCACAACGGGCACTCCCCCATCGTGCATCCCGCTGGCGTCCCAGTCCCAGGCCTCGGCCACCACACCCTCAGCCACGGCCCGAGGTCCGACTCTCCCTTGACGCACCCTGGAACGGGATCCGCCTCTCCCAGGCACAGTCGTCCCAGCTCTCGCTCCAGCGTCCCCACTGTAAGGCTCGCTTTCCTCGCAGGAAGCTGCAAAAATATGTCGCTTTTTAATCTCATCGTATAAAATCTGATTGGAATTTTATGTGTGTTTTAGAATGGTCAATGGAATGGCGCTCATGAAGATCCAGAGCGAGACCAAAGGCGGAGGTTCCGAGTTGAGCGCAAACTACAGGAGCTGGAAGAAACCACACAAGTGGCTCAAATCCGCTCTGCTCTGGATGATCCATACCACGACATTGTTGAGTTTGCTCAGAGCTACTTTAACCCACATGAGCGTTCACCTGAAGGTATGTTATGATTTTTGAATAGTTTATAATGTTTACATTTTTGTAAATATAATAACTAATCTCTTTTGCTTCTCAGGGACTATTATTGCCACTTTAACTCGGAAGCGCAAGTCAATGGAAATAATGCCAAAATATGAAATGGTGACATACTACAAGGGCAACAGCATACCCACTTCACATATTCATCTCTATGATCCAGAGAATGTGAATGTGGCCTGCTCGATTTTCAGGGTGAGCAAATTAGAAATTTTTCACAAATGAATTTTTATGACCTTTTGTATGTTACTGTATTAAAATTTATTTTTTTAAATCTACAGGATCTTTGCCGCTACATTAGGGGAGAACTGAAACCTGAAGCAGAAATCAGCTCTATTCAAGCAATTATTGGATATGGCATTGAAAGGGAAGAGTTGCGTGATGAAGTATTTGTGCAGTGCATTCGCCAGGCAACCAACAATCCCAATCCTGAGTGGATAGAGCGTGTGTGGCTTCTTTTGTGTCTGGCCATTGTCGCTTTCCAGCCCAGCAAGCTGCTGTTCAAAGTAAGCCGTAGACTCAGAGAAGTCTTAACAATTGACTCCATATTTTTAGTTGATTTGTTTTGAATCGAATTCATCTTTTATTGGTTTTCTCTTTGTAGTATTTCGTCTGTTTCCTTAAGAAGAACTTACAATTAGATGGTAAAATGAAACAATATGTTCAGTGGTGTCTGGATAACTGTAATAATAGCAAAGTGTCATGTCGTCAACATCCACCTTCAACTGTGGAAATTGCTGTGAGTACAAATCTGAGTAGTATCGCTTTAACAATTTGGGAATAGAAGATTCTGAATATTATCATGACGTGGCATGAAAATATTTTATTGTTTTTGCAGGCTATGCGGCGCCTGGGAACTATTGTATGCCGATTTTTCTTTTTGGATGGTCGCACCAAAGCTATTGACATACACCCAACTGACACTGCAAGTGATGCCTCTGCAAAACTGGCTGACAAACTAGGTCTCCGCTCTCTTGAGGGCTGGGCCATTTATCAGAGCAGACCAGATGGTGAAGAGCATGTGCGTGCCCATCACTATCTTTATGATGTGATAGCTGCGTGGGAAATGTAAGCAAAATTTTTATTTTTTTCCTTGTTTTAAAATTTTGTATTTCTTATAGCACAGCTTATAAAAACACTGCCTTATTGGTTTTCTATTTTGTAGGAAACAAGCAAAACAGGGACAATCATCATCCTCTTTCCCAACACTGAGCAGGAGAGGTGAACGATCAACTCTTGGCAGCGGTGAGAATCGCTTCATTTTCAAAAGACGTCTATTCAAGGCCAACCATCTACGTGAACTATCACAAGATCCGGTGGAAATTAATATGTTGTATGCACAGGCTGTTTATCACGTTGTTAAGGTATTTTTTGTCACATTCTATTGAAAGCAATAGTCTTGCATCTGATATGAGGACCATTTATCTTTAATTTGATGTAATTTCTGTCTTGCAGTGTGATGATTTTCCTGTTAGTGAGAAAGTTGCCTTGCAACTGGCTGGCCTACAGTCACAAGTCATGCTGGGTGATCCCAAAGACAACAATAGACTTGATTACTACAATGATGTAGATAGCTTTCTTCCATATCGTGTTAGCAGAAGTCGGGGAGAGGATGTATGGGTATGTATTATTTAAATTGAAATGATAGGTAACTCTACAAAGTATTAAAGCAAATTCGGATTTTAATTCATTAAACATTGTTCGGCAGGTACCTATCATAGCGCATGCTCACCGTCAGTATGGAGCAGGACGCTCTGAGATAGCTTCTAAGGTGCTGTACTTGTCATGTGTCATGCAGTATCCATTGTATGGGACAACAATGTTCCCTGTCACATACAGAGGATATTGGTCTTATGGTAAGGACTACTTTTTTATCTTTTATCCTTCCTCAACATTTTCTCACAATGCAGCTATTTATCAAGTCTTTCTACTTGTTTACAGGTAACAGCCTCATTTTGGGTGTTCATTGCAATGGTCTGATGTTGATAAAGCCCGATGATAAGTTTGTAATATATGAATACCGTTATGAAGATGTCGAATCTTTGTTCCTGGATCCAAGTGATTCATTCATTACAATCAATGTAATGCGTCAGCATCCAGGGCAAGGACTTCACCAGAACCAGCAGGGCCAACCAGAGAATACTCATAAGTGCTTTGTGTTTGAGACACCTCAGAAAAATGAAATAGGATCACTTATAGTTAGTTACTGCCCTCAACTAGCTGGCTGGATCACTGAAAGTGAAGCACCTGCTACAAAGAAGGTTTGTTTCTTTTGCACTTTGCAGTTACTTCAGAGTATACTTCAGTAAAGAATGAACCTAATAATAAAGTGTTTATTCAACAGGTGAAAGGTATAACCAATGAAGACAGAGTTAGGCTTTACCACAATCTTGTAAACTGCAGAAGAGTTTTAATTGATGGGGAATTACTGCGTAAACCACAAGACACAGGGGCCAGCTTCCTCAGGAACACTCTTCGAAGGTAGGCTGGGAATCAAAGTAAAGTGAATACAGTGTCATGTTTTTGTCAGAAATTACAATTTATATAATCTTCTCATTAGATTGAGCAAACACCGACTTGAGAAGTTAAGACTGGACAATGGCGGTTCAGGTGACAGTGGAGAAACTTACAAAGGTTTTCCTTACACCTACTGGGCTTTTAGTCGCCAGCCTATTGGTCAGAGCCTGAGCAAACTTCCAGAAGGAGAAGAGACCCTTGGTTTGCAAGTCTTTAACACAATCTTAACTTATGCTGGTCTAGGGCAAGATGGTAAGTTTCTTCTTTATAACCATTTTTCAAAGAACTTTAAAGATCCTTGACACTAATTTTTTTTTTTGGTGTAGGTGATAGTGTGCGCAGAGCTGAAGATGAACACATTAATCTTATTAAGTCCATTATGGAGCGCTGCATGAGATCTGAGCATCTTCTTGCAGAATTGTACTTGCAACTGATCAAGCAAACAACTGAACATCCTGATCCAAATTCTAGAGTAAATTTAAGACATTGGGCTTTACTTTCCCTTGCCTGTTCCGTCATTTTACCTCCTCAAAAACCATTGCGACGGTATCTCATTGCTCATCTCAAGAGATGTGCCTCTGACTTTATCACTGAAGAGGGCAAATTTGCTCGTTTTGCAGAGAAGGTAGGTTAACGTGTTTGCTGGCACAAGTTATTGTTTTTATTTTGACTTGTTTTTAACCTTTCTTCATCTTCTGTGCGATAGTGTTTGTACAAGACCCAAGGAACGAGGAGAAGACAGTGGCCTCCATCAAGAGAGGAAATTATGTGCACCATCAACCGCCGACCGATCTATGCTCGTTTCCATTTCATGGATGGTCAATACCACGCTGTTGAGTTCCATCCATCTGCTACAGCAAAGGATGTTATGGAAATAGTTAAAACGAAAATTGGCCTCAGGGAAAAAGCAATGGGTATGTTGGTCAACTTTCCAGGTTTTGTACAAATCTGGGGAAGTTTTAAAAATACTGTGTCCTCTAAACCTGAAATAAAATTATAATGTTCCTGTTTTTTCAGGCTATGCCATTTATGAGGTTCTGGGAAGCTCTGAAAGAAGCCTAATGCCTGATGAAAAGGTTGCTGATGTTATGTCAAAGTGGGAAAGGTATCGAGCAACCCTTGCTGCAGAAAACTCGGGACAATCAAATACCGGTGCCTCAAGTGGTACCCTTAATCGAAGAGGCCAGCAAGTCCAACAGTCTGCTCCTCAACCTCTATTTCTTTTCAAGAAACATTTGTTCCTTGATGAATACATGGACTTAGATGACCCTGTTGAGAAAGAACTGCTCTATCATCAAGTCCTGCATGGACTGCGATGTGACCGGTATCCAATTACAGAAATGGAGGCTGTAAGTAGCTCTTACTATTTCCTTTAGGTCTACTCATTTGAAATATTTGCTTAAAATTAACTTTTCTCTTCAGGTAATGTTGACTGCGCTGCAATCTCAGCTTGAATTGAGTGACTGGGAAGAAAGTCTTCTGGATTATCGCTCCATAGCTAGCCACTGTCTTGCTCCACGGTTAGTACCTGGAGTACCATCTGAGGCAGTCGTTATGCACCACCAGTCACTGTCTGGAATGACTCCTCCTGAGGCTAAGCAAGCGTTCTTGAATCTCATTCAAAGCTGGCCTCTCCACAGAGCAACTATTTTTGATGTTATGGTAAGTATCTTGGATGGAACATAGTAATTAATGAATGATATTGTCACTGTCTTGTAGTATGTTAAACTTGCAATTTTTTCAATTTTCTAGCAATCATTTACTTCCAACTGGCCACGAGTACTGTGGTTGGCAGTAGATCAGGCTGGCCTTCATCTTCTTGAGCACCGATCAAGAAATGCTCTCTGCTCATATGAGTATGAAAGCATCATCAGCTACTCCCCAGCTGTCAACTGCCTCATGATCATTACTGGAAGTGATCGTAAACAGAGTAAAGTTATTCTCACCACATCTCAGGTAAGAGGCAGAAAGAAGTTTATTTCTGATAATTTAAAATCTAGTTCATTGTCCTTATTGGTGTGTCTTCTCGTCTGGTCCCAGGCATTCCAAATAGCTAATTTAATTCGAGAGTACTGCGAGGTGTTGGCTGGTCCACAGCAAGATGTGAAGCGTCAACATCAACAAGTTCATCAACAAACTCTAAACAGAAAACGATCCACCAATGCTCAGAATGGAAGTAGTCGGCCAGCCAGCATACTGCACAAAAATGCAGCAATTATTGAACCACAGCCGAGCTAATCCATGAGAAGTGTAATTTTCTGTTAGTAGCATGAAGTTACCAAAGCATTGGCTGCTCTGTTCCAGGTAACATTATGCTTTCAAAAAAATATCTGAAAGTAAATTAATTTTAATGGTGCTTTAGTTACTCTAATTTCCAGACAAAATATGTCAAGCAAAATGCTCAGATACAAAATCTTTGCATGCCAAAGGTTATGATCTCTAATTTCAAAGAAATGTCTCTCTTTTTTTAAAAAAACTATGTATTAGTCATACAGCATTAAGTTGATTATGATATTGCTTGCCATAGCCATTTTATGTACTAGTATTTACAATATTATCACAAAAGTTATCCACTTCTAAGTCATTATTTAGGTGTAGCTTCAATTTTTTTAAACGAATTAAAGAAATAGCAATTACCATATTACTGTCTTGAATATCACACTCATGGCGCTTCTGCCATGAGGAATGTGGAGTGAAATACAAGACAGGATTCAGAGCTGAACTGGTGCATCTGTACATAATTGTATGCAGAATAAGGCTTGTAAAGAATCTGTACAATGTATTTATATGATGTATTATATGTGATGTACATTAAAAGAATGTAAATAAGAGGTGAAATATGATACTGTACCTAAGCATCCTCATTGTTTCTCTTAATGATTTTTGTTTCTTTTTGTGAAGTGTTGGATTCAATTGTTAAGATGTTTTTATTTGTTGAAGGAACATTGTGGTCTTCTTGTGACCCTGCTGCCAAATTAATGCTGTTTATGTTCAACTGTTTGCATTTTTTTAATTGAACTGATCCGAAACCCAATTTAGACAATATTGTAATTATTATCAATGCATTGTTTGTTGTGTGCATTTGACTGAAGTTCAGCATTGTAACTTAAAACTGCCAAAGAATCAAAAGACATGCATTTTTCAATGTATTTCTTTCTCAGTAGGTAATATTTCGTCAAAGCGATCTGCAACAATGAATTTGAAGTTTGCTGTTCAGATCTTTTAGTCTAATTATTTGAAACTGACAGATCTTCCAGTGACACGGTTCAGGTCCAAGTACATTTTGCTCATACCTTCAGGACTTTTTTCCTTAATTTATAAATCCAATGTAATATAAATGATTAAGAGTGTTTAGCACTATTCCCCTGTGTTACCTTTGGACCATAATCTTCCTTCTGTATGTGTACTGTGTGCCTGAAGCAGTGTTGGTGAACCGTACCTGCTATGGATTAAAGTAGCTTATTTCAACTTTCCATCTAGTTTGTCAAGCAATGGACGTGTTGTATATCTTTATCATCTTTTTCATGTACAATGTTAAAAAGGAATGTAATTCTTCTCGTTATACAACACTAAGTGTTGGTTCATGTTATTGAATGTTTTGCATTGATGCTGAGTATCTTTATCAGAAGGTATGCTGTGGCTTCTGGCACATAACCAGCAATCCACCAGTTCAGTGTAATCCATTGCATTGACTAATTTTTTCTAAGGGTTTTAAGACGACCCTATCTAGCCAGAGCCTGTGATAGTAATTGTACGATAGTCAAGGAAAAGATGATAAAGAGTGATAATAGTATTGATGTAAATATTAAGGGTGAATGTTTTAATCTATTGAAATTTCAGCTACTTTTACTTATTGACGCGTCTTTTTAAGTGAAGTGGTATATTAGATATTGTACCATGAATACATTTAATGAAGGAAAATCAAAATTAACTGTCTTTGTTATATCTTTACCAAACTCACGTTGCTTTCACCAAAAGATTTCATTTTGAATGCTCCTCAGGGTATAAATTAATTTCTGCTCGTTATTTATGGAAGGTTGTCTAAAGTGTTCAACCCATCAGCATTGGAATTTTCTATCAGCAAAACTAAGCTTTTATCATAAGGCTCCCAGCTCAACCTTCCCAACAAATTCTCTCAACTTCATCTTAATAAATTCAATATTACACTAACTTACCATTCTAGTGAATACATTTTGGGTTACCAATTTCTGTAGCATGTTCCTACTATATCAGATATCATTATTAGATATATATTGGGAAAGGCATATAAAGAGTGAGAGTACAAACTGTTCAGAGAATATTTGAAGGATAAGAAATAACTGCTTTTTAAGGTAGAAAACGAGCTGTCAGTTTCAGCTGACTTTCCATTTATACATGTATCTTTCTTTTAAAGTTTCTTTATGAAGTACAATAAAAGACAAACTTGTATTTCTGAGAAGGTGTTTATTTTACCATCTGCACTGGTTTGGTATTGATGAGCTTTTGTTAATACAATGCGTTAAATAAACAAATTCCAGCCCTTTTTATTGTTTAAAGATTCTGTTATTAACCTGCTAAAGACCCATGAGTTTTAATGCTAAGCATTAATGAGAAGCGAGAGTTCTAATTATTCAACGGGAAAATCCTCATTTGATGAGAAACGTATGAGTATTGCATCAGATCCAAATTTTCATCTAAAGAAAATCACCATGTTAAGGAATCTGTGAAATCCTAGGATTTGCAGAACAACCCACTAACATCCATTATCACAGACAATCCAAATACAACCAAAAATACAATTAAAATAAGTGCTTTACAATTAAAATTATCATAATTACAACAGAGAGATCAGGAAATACTTGAGAGGTCTCGCAGCTTCTCAAAAGGTCATTATGAATCCCCTTCTGGAGATGACTTGTTGGATGATGCCTGCAAAAAATTTCACACAGATAAAATACATTGATTAGGAAAATTATAAGAGATGGATAAAAAATTTCTCAAACAAAATTGTCTGAACTAACACTTTCTCCATTCGATTCCTTGGATGAGGATGATGGAGCGACAAAGAAGGTGGTGATGGGCTTTTGCCATTCTGGGGTTTCTCGGGGATGATACGAATTACCACCAACTGTAGGTTTACCTAGCAACAATAGAACAATATGAAAGAGAGAATAAAAACCATCACAAATACAAACAGGAATATTTTCCCCAAACTGCTCTTACCCTTACTGTCACCACTGCTATCAGAACTCCGAGTTGGGGTGCTCACAACAGCTTTCCTTGGTGCCTTGGCTCCAGAGGCTGCAATAGATCCGAACAAAGGATGATATTAAAATTTTTATGCAGATTACAAATGAACAAAAATATGGAAGAAATGTTTTCTTTCATATATTTTACGCAAATAAACAGGACAACGAGGGTTATAGTCAAGTGACGGCAGTGTACCTTTCACACCCGTAGTATCAGCTTTCGTGCGCACCATTTTCAAAAGATAAAAAGTTGACAAAGGGCGGAACCGAAACGCTTAAGTAGAGTGATCTACAAAAGTTAAAGCCTTCGAGAATTCTTTCCAATTTAAATCGTAACTGGGGCAACAACACAAACCCTGCGGCCAGCAACACACAACACACAGCTGAGTTTTGGCGGGAGATTGATGATTGACAAGGTCCACCAACGTGAAATCAGAAATCGCTGCGCTTAGAAAATTTTGTTAATCATGATACAAAACTTAATTTACCCGCTTACAAAGATGATTTTAAATAAAACACGAATGATCATGTGTACCTCAATAATATACTGCCAAGAAAAATACACAACGTCCGCCCTTACCCAGAAATCGCGCCAAATTCAAACACCATCCGTGGACCAGCTCTGCCCTAGCCCCGCGACGCGCGACGGGCAAGGGTTAACCACGGGTGCGTGCTGTGCGGCCTCGGGCCCGGTTCCTGGCCGAAACAGTGTAATCTCATTACCGTGGCTAGACTCACTGAGCCGTGGAGGCATGGCAGGCATGGCAGGCGTGGCGTGCCCGCGGTGTGGAAAAAATAATAACCGCGCGAGCGAACGGGGTCCTTCTCCAAAGTCGAAGTCGACCGTGGCATTACGCCGTGGGGTCTGTCATCGGTCACTTTGGCGAACGCTCGTTCGATGTGTCGAAAACAAAAACAAGCTTCCTTCTCTCTTCGCCCACATGACTGGCGCCGGAAAGGCAGTCTTGGACTTCCCTGTCGTGACTGTGTCCACTGTGTCCCATGGGCTGTCCCGTGGACTGACTGGCCGGCCGATGCGTCGTCTGCTGGGCGGGCCGGCGGCCAAGCCGTTCGTCGCTCTGTCTCTCTCGCACCACTGCGAGACGCCTCATGAGTGCGGAAGAGACAGAGCGACGAAACGGACCTTCGGAATGGCTCGGCAGCACACCGGTAGTTACGCGCGGTGACATTGGCGCCGGCGGGAAGGAGGGAAGGAGGCGTTGTCCTGGACTCCGTGCCTCTCCGTGCCTCTCCGTGCCTCTCCGTGCACTGGCTGCCCGTGCCCACCGCGTCCGCGTCCAAGCCCCGTCGTTATAAGGCCGACACGTGTCCGCGGGAGGCATTCGCCGAGCAGCAACACCGAGACCAACATGAAGACACTCCTGGCGGTCGCCGCCGCCCTCCTGGCCGTGAGCGCCCTGGTCACTGCCGAGGTAAAAAACCGCCCCGAGCGAGAAGTGGGGGAAAGTGTGATGTTTTTAAAAGCGATACCACTTATTGCGTTTTCCGTTGGACGCTGTAGGTGAACCTATCGGACGACCAGAAGGCGCTCCTGAAGCAACTCAGAGGGTCCTGCATGGAGGAGACTGGAGTAGCCGAAGGTAAGTGATGAGTCAAGTCGTCCGCAGTCAGGCGATCTCTCGTGACACTTTTCGAGTCGTTTTTGTACGAACTTTCTGCATCGCAGCCACCATCGAGGCGTGCAAGACCGGCAACTTCGCCGACGATCCCAAGCTCAGGGTGAGTACGGCAAGGGATGCGCAGTGAGGTTCGACGTCACTTTCACTAACGGACTTTCTTTTGTCGACAGTGCTACTTGAAATGTGTCTACCAACAAATGACAGTGGTGAGTTTCTTTCAAACGTTTTATAAACGCATTTTTGTTGTCTGATTGTTTTTAAACCGTGCTTTGGGCTGACAGATGGACGATGACGGCATGGTGGATGCTGACATGATGGTCACCATGCTGCCCGAGGAGATCCAGGCCAAGGCGGAGCCCATCCTCCAAGTGTGCAAGGCCGTCAGTGAGTGTCTCATTCCACACTGTAAATAAGTAGGGATCGATTGCCGAATTGGTCGCGTGTGGTCACTTTTTGCTGCCAAGTGAGAGTGCTTCGGTCGCTAGGAACGCAATCGATCCGTGCAGAGAGGGAGCCGTCCATATCCTCCTCCAATAATCCTTCCCCGACACTTTCCAGACGGCGCCGACGCTTGCGAGAACGCCATGCAGTTCAACAAGTGCCTGTACGAAAAGGCCCCCGACGTGAGTGAAAGTTGTGCAGTGATCGGACTCCGCATTGCAGTGCTCGAAGTGATCGCCTTTGCTTCTCCTTTGCAGTACTACATCGTGCCCTGAGAGACGTCTCGTCCAACCCCCCTCCGAGTGCGAGGACTTCGAACACGTGCAACACTGCAATAAAATATCTGTGTATTATACAATTTGAGTTTTGATTCATTGTCTCCCATCCCGGACTAGACAGAGGAGTGTGAAATACGAATGCACTCGGGTTATAATCAAAGACGAACATTTATTAAGTTAAAACAATCATAAAGCGGAAACGTAAGGCAATGCTTCATTTCCATCTGCCTACACAGTAATAACATTAGATATTTAAATTCAAAACAAACAAACAAAAACTTACACGGTGAAAAGGGCTTGTAGTTGAAGTTCATAGAAAAGAGACACAAAATCTGATATCCGATAGTTTCGATTCAAAACGAAAAATCAAACGACAGGACTAGATGGAATGAATCACAACAACCAGGAACTTTCCGAATCCTTTTCACCTCGAGCGCAGAGTCGCGGCATGGCAGGAGGCTTCGAGATCATCATTTCAACAATTCATTCGGGGAACGGGGTAAACGAGGGAAAACAACCCGACCGCCGGAATGGCTGGAATTCCCCCGACACGGAGTGGAATGGAATGGCCAGCGAATCGGCACACGTCGGCACAGGCAGAGTGGCGGGGTATACAGGTAGAGAATCACAAGGTAGCTTAAACACAGACTAGGACTATCAAACTACGGGTTGCTCGTACTTATAATAACAAGGTACTGGAATGTTCCGAGAGCCGGACCGGGACGGGGCGGGCCGCGGCGGCAGGCGAGGCTGCGTCCACTGCGTCGCGCGGCTACGGGTCACGCGGCACGCGGCACGCACGAGTATGGCACATGACGCTCGACGGCGACCCAACGGGGACCGTCCGTCGGCTGGCTTTGAGATCGAGCTCGACGTCTAGGAGGCGAGGTGGCCCTGCAGGTGGCCCTGCAGGTGGGTCTGCAGGTGGAGGGGGCGGCCCCCTCGCGACGCCGGCCGTCACTTGTGCGGGCTGGTCTTGCTGACGGCCACCATGGCGGCGAGCGCGGCGTGCGGCGCGGTGGGCGAGGAGGCGGGTCGCGGCGCGGGGGCGGGTGGCGCGGACGCGGCGGTGGCACGCTGCTGCTCGGCGGCCCACAGCGCCGCGGCGCTGTCCGGCGCGCTGTCCTGCCTGGCCGCGCCCTGGACCCCCTGGACGGCCGCGCCCCGCAGCGCGCACACTTGGTGGTGCGTCTCCCAGTCCTTGTGCTGGCAGAACGAGCCGCAGTAGCGCGCCACGTTGCAGCCGCTGCACGTCTCCTGCGCCTTGCGGCCGCAGTTCCAGCAGTTCTGCGGACAAAGTCGAAACTCGATCAAGTCGGGGAAGCGGCGGCATAACAAGGGCATAACAATCCGTCTCTGTACTCACGTTGGCGGTGTGTGCCAGGCGGTCCGCGGGCGGCGAGTGCCCGTTGTGCGCCACGGCGGCCACGGCGTCCAGGCGGGCCTGCAGCGCGCCCAGGCCGGCGTGGTGGCCGAGCCCCGCCAGCCGGCGCTCCAGGTTGACCCTCTCGGCCGCCATCAGCTCGGCGGCCTGGGCCTCGGCGGCGGCCACCGCCCTCTGGATCTCGAGCACCGCCTGCCGCCGCACCTCGTTCACGGTCTCCTCTGCAAAGTGGACCGCGTCAGCAGACTGATTCGAGGAGTCGCTCTGTCGCTCTGTCGCTTCGCTCACCTGCTCGACGCTTGAGCTCCGCGATGCGCTCCTCCGTGTCCTGCAAGGTGCGGGCCATGATGTCGTCCACGGCGGCCTTGATCTGCCGCGACACGACCGCCGCGCCGGCCGCGCCCGCCGCCGTCAGCGCCACCACGCCGTTCTCGTGCGCGGCGCCGTCGGCGGGGACGGTGCTGCGCTGCTGCAGGATCACCAGGGCGTGCTTGGTCTTCTCCACCATGCTCAGCACGCAGTTCAGCATCTGCAAGCCATCACGCCGATCAGCCTGCTGCTCGCGGCGCGACGGGCGCGACGGCCGGGGCCCCTGCGAACCAGCAGATAGGCAACCCGGCTACAGCGGTGCGCGGCGGGCAGCCTATCGCCGCCTTGCCGCCGGCCGGAGCCAGGAGCAAAAGCCAGGCCTCACTCACCACGTTGATGTTCTTCCACTCGTCCTCGTTGTTCCGGCGCTCCTCGGCCTCCTTGGCGTGCTGCGCGGGGTGCTGCGGGTGCAGCTGGGCCTGCAGGTGCGGCGGAGGGGGAATGTGGCGCGCGCGGGGGTGCACCACGCCGCCGCCCCTCACCAGGGCGCGCTCCGTCCGCTCCGGCCTCTCCACCGGCCTGTCCACGGCCCGGTCCCGGTCCGTCCGGTCCAGAGAGGTGTGCGCTCGCTTGGCCCACGCCGACAGGTTCTCGGCCTCCTCGGCCTCCTCCAGGCTGAGGGGCAGAGACAGGTCTCAGGTACCGTTTCGGGCAGGATAACAATTTAAATCTCTGGGAGTTTTTTTTCTGGCGGTGCGGGCTGTGGCCGTGGCCTACCTGTCGGAGGCCGGCCGCTTGGCGGCGTCCTTGCCATCCGCGTGGAAGATGTTGAGCACGCCCTCCCCGGCCGGCGACACGGACGCGGGGTCCAGCAGGAGGTGCTCGTGGTGCCGCAGGTACTGCAGGGCGCTCTGCCAACACAAAAGTCGCTGGTTCGACTCACCATGACCCCTTGTTTTTTCCCTGCTCGGAGAGCAAGCAAATTACGTCATAGCAAGAATCCGGCCTCCATCGGACCGCCTTCCAGGACCCACCTCGCCGGAAGCCTTAGCCAGCCCGTGCAGTTCGCGCTGCAGTGCGGGTAGCTGTCCTCGCAAAAACGGCAGCACGAAACCGCGCAGCGGGAAGTTTGTGACTTCCTGCAGAGAATGCTGGAACTCCTCCACCGACAGCCCGTTCGCCTGCAACACCAACATCGTCGTGAGCCACCAGGGTCCGGGTCGAAAGGGGGAGGGGAGGGGGGAGGAGGTTGAAGTATGCGGGCGTGAAAACATTGCTCTGATACTGTGGCCGTACGGAACATGCGGGGCCCGGTATGTCCAGCTTACACACTGAGCTTCTGCTGGTTTGTGTGGCGTGGCCGCCCGTGTGTGTCTGTGTGTGTGTATGCGTGTTAGAAAGGACCCGGTTGCGGTGCCCAACCCGTTTGGCCCGCGACTGCCGTGAGAACGAGAGAGACCGCCGGCCACCGCCGAGAACTACGCACTGCTACGCACCACCAGGCTGAAGACGAGCGCGCGAACCCGCTCGCCGGTGTCGGCGGAGATGTCGGAGCCGAACTGCACGAGCGTGGACAGGAAGCGCTTCATCTTGGCGTGCGAGCGCGCGGCGGAGGCGGAGGAGAAGGCGGTGCCGGCAGCTGTCGCGGCCGCCGCACCCGGGGTGGCACCTGGCGTCGCACCTGCAGCCGAGCCGCTGCCATCCCGGCCATCCCGGCCGTCCCGGCCCGAGCGCTCCCTGTCCCACAGCGAGAGAGACAGCGCCAGCGGCTGTCCGGGCGGAGAGGCGCCACCTGTGCGGAGAGAGAGGGAGAGGGGTGGAGTTGAGTTATTGAAAGAAGCGGCGCCAGCGTTGGAATATTGCCACCAGCCTACAGTGCTGCACCACTGCCGGCTCGGCTTCATGCCGCGGGCCGGGTGACACTTGCGTTCAGTCAAGCCGTCAATTTTTGTTGGAATTTCTTTCATTGAAAAGCTTGCCGCGTGTTCCTACCTGCATGCCTGTCGTGGCGGTCGTGGCGGTCGGGGCCGGGCCCTGGCGAGCCCCCGTTGAGGAGGCAGCTGGTGTAGCCGTTGACGCCCAGTGCGGCGGCCGTGGCGGCGCCGGGGGTGGCGGCGGCTGTCGAGGGCGTCGGCGTCGGCGACCGTCGCGGCGACCGCAGTGGCGAGCGAAGCGGGGACCGCGACGACGCCCCCTGGCGGTCCTGGCGGTCCCCGGCGGCGTGGCCCGGTGGGCTGGCCGGCGGCGGCGACCCGCTGGGGGACCGGCTGCTCGGCGTGGCCCTCAGCGCGGAGCCTGCAGAGGAACAAGAGCAAGGTCACCTCCACGTTGATCACCGACGGCATGCCGGCGGCGTGATTTACCGGCCTCTCCTCGTTCTTTCGGCCCCGCGGCCCGGCGGGCCGTCTGAGTAATGGCAGGCATTCCGGGCGCTGCGCGGCACTGCGCGCTGCGCTGCCTGACTGACACAGTGCGCAGGTGGCGCCTGGCGGCCACGGCGACGCGAGGCAGGCGGGGCTTTCCGGGACTTCCGGTCTGCAGATTCGCTCGCGAGACTCTGCGGGCTGCTTCCACGCGTCGCCGCCGTCGCTCTGTCTCTCTCGCACCCCTACGGGCCGGCCCGCGAGTGCGAGAGAGACGGAGCGACGCGGCCCCGATTCGGACTCGGCCTGCTGATTGGGTTCGCGGCGCCGAGGCTGCCGCGCTGCTGCCGCCGCGCCCCGTCTGGCTGGTGGGCGGGATGATTTAAAACTCGAGCCGACTGAAGCACGCCGACGGAGCCCCGGGCCGCCTAGACTCGAACCGACCCGACGCGCCGGGCCAGGCAGGCCCGGATCACAATGGAGAGAGTTCCAGAGTTTAATTTGCACAGCGGCTAGGCTAGGCCAGGCCTGGGCCAGGCGGTGGCAGCGGCAGTCTGCTTGGGCGGGGGCGGTGGGAGGAGGGGGTTGAGGTCGGCGGTTAGGGGTTTGGTTTGGCCGCGGGTTCGGCCGCGGGTTTGGCCGGGACTGCGGGAATGGAGCCATCAGCGGAACGAGAAAACAATCGCATGCCGCGCACCGACCTTTTTATTATTATCAATATTCACAACAAATCGCCCTCATCTCAATTCCCCTCGAAACACGCCGCAAGCCCGGCCCCTCCCCCACCCTTCCACGCGCCCGCACCCACACAGACGCCCGCACACACACTGCGGCTCGGATGCACCCCCATCGGCACATGCGGCCTGCCGGGCCTCCCGCCCAGGGCATACGCTTTGCAGTTTAATTTCTTCCCCATTTAAATGGAAGGCTCCCACACCGCGGCCGAACTTTGCCGAATGGAATTCCTTTTCCAAGAGCGAGCTGGCCGACGGCGTGCCCAGGCCCAGGGCCGCCACCGGACAGCTCCGCGGCGGACGCCCCCACCCCCGCGCTTTTCTCCAGATAAAAAACGAGATTTTGATGGCGTCAAACGAGGCAAACAAAACTGGAATACATTTCGGCGACAAGCCGGCCCGCTCGGCCGCATGGAGTCTGACCAGCCGGCCCGGGGAGGGGGAGGGGAGGGGGAGGGGAGGGTTTTCGGGGGGCCGGTTGGTACATTGCTAATTAGGATCCGATGGGCGTTACGTAACAAGCCGCTGGTGCGGCGCCCCACCCCGCCCCGCCGCGGCACCACCGTCGCACTCCATAACGGGCCGGGGATTAAAACCGCCGAACCCATCAAGGAGGGCGCGACGGAGCACAGCCACAAAGCGACAGGCGGCCTCAAGCGCAGGAGCGGACCTGGAGCTGAATTTCGGTGGTGGGGGGACGCGGTGCTAGAAACAAAAATCGCCCATGGACGTTTAGCGTGTGACTTTACACAAAACGTCCCACCCTTTGTTTCTGCCTAAACTGTCGCTCCCCTTGCGGCGGTGTTCCCGGGTGTGCAGTTGTTGAATCGGAACGGATCGCGGATCGGGGGTTCGTCCCGCCGCGGTGGCGGCAGTGGCGGCCAGGCCGGGCAGCCTGTCGTCATGCCGTCTCACTCGCACTCGCGGTGCGCCCCGGGAGGGTGCGAGAGAGACAGACGAAGCACTGGCGCTGCCGGGCGCTGCCATTACCCGGCCGAATTAATAAAGCGTCCGTCTCGTTTCTTCACGCGAAACGGGCCGACAGGCAGTCCGTTCCGCGTTCCGTTTCGGCGCCAGTCAGCCGGCCAGCGTGTTGTACCGCGCCGGCTTTTTGCCCCAAGACTGGGGGGAGAGGGAAGGGGTAGCCGCGCCTGCTTTGCTTTCGGGGCGAGTTTGATGTCAGAGCCTCGCGCCGACTGGCATGCTGGCACATGTGTGCGCCTCGGTGATGGATTGTGATGTTATTCTTTGCGCGTTTCATGCTGTCATTGCATTGCCCGGCCATGCGCCCGGTCGCCCCGCCCCGCCCCGCCGCGGCACGTCCCGCCACAGAGTGCTCGCCATCGCCATGCATACCGGCGTATTCTTTCTGTGGCCCCGAAATGATTGCCCAGGCGGCGCGGCAGGGCCGCACCATGGAGGGCCACGCGGAGCCATGGAGGGTGATGGCCGCCGAATCGGCGCGCCGCGACCACGATTAGACGATTAGACACCATCAGGCTGAACCGAGGGCTAAATTGACAAGGCCGCGGATCACACGCTGTAAAAAAATCGGAGCGCCAACTCGCCAGCTTGACAAATCCATTCTTCAGATGGGGCACCCTAGTCACTAGTTGATCAGAACAGTCACAAATGTCTTTTGAAAAATCGTGTTTTGGGCCGACTTTAAGCAGCCACTGCGTCTGATCCGAGGCGGTATTTCGTCCTTCCTCAACGGGCAATTGGTCTTTGGACCTTCCTTTGGCATGCCTTTGATACGGAGTGCGTTTATCTGCCTTAGTTTGGGAGCAGTATTGCCGCAAAGTTGATCAAAACGGTCACAAAAGTCTTTGAAAAATCGTGTTTTGGGCCGACTTTAAGCATCCACTGCGTCTGACCCGAGGCGGTATTTCGTCCTTCCTCAACGGGCAATTGGTCTTTAGACCTTTATTTAACATGCCTTTGTTACGGTGTGCGATTATCTGCCTTAGTTTGGGAGCAGTATTGCCGTAAAGTTGATCAAAACGGTCACAAATGTCTGAAAAATCGTGTTTTGATCAACTTTGCGGCAATACTGCTCCCAAACTAAGGCAGATAATCGCACACCGTAACAAAGGCATTCTAAAGGAAGGTCCAAAGACTAATTGCCCGTTGAGGAAGGACGAAATCCCGCTTTGGATCGGACGCAGTGGTTGCTGAAAGTCGGCCCAAAACACGATTTTTCGGGAAGCTGGCTGTCTCTGCCAGGAAAGAGCGCGGGAGGCAGGCTGCTTCAGGGCCCGCAAGCGACGACGGATTCGCACCCCATTGGTCTCGCGGCTTCACGTGCCTGCGGAAACACCTGCAACGTTTTTGCCCGGGGTGCGCTGAGCTGCGCGGGGCGTGGCGGGGCGCAGCGGGGCCCCGTGGCGTACCCCCGCGGGGCCGTGGCGGCCGCGGCGTGGCTGAGGCCGGCCTCGCTCGCCTGGTTGGCTGAGGCGGCTGAGGCGGACACCGTGTCAACGCCCCGCCGCGGCCACGCCGCCGCGCCGCCGCGCCGCCCCGCGCAGCGCTATGGGGCCGCGGCGCCGCGCAGCGCGACTCAAAGCGAAACATTACCGAGCGAAATTGAATGTCAATCCCAGCAGACCGACTCCGAGAGTCGTTTTCGTCGCTCCGTCTCTCTCGCACTCGTGGGCCGTTCCGTATGGGTGCGAGGGAGACACAGCGACGAGAACGACTCTCGGAATCAGTCTGCAGGAAGGCGTGCACCCCGCGCCTCCGCTTCGCCGCGCCGCGCCACCGCCGATCGGCCCCGCCAGCGTCACGCTCGTCACGGCCAACCCATCAACGCCACGCTCGTCACAAGCGCTTCCGCTCGCCAGCGTCACGCTCGTCACAAACATCCGAAACGAACGCTCGCTCCGTTTCGGAAGCGATTCCGAGAACACACTGCTGCTTTCAAGAGAGCCTTATTCCTGTTCCACCCCTTCCTCCCCCGCCCCCACCCCGGCAAGTGCATCCGCACTGCACCCTCTGCTAGGCCTGCACGGCCTGCAAGGTCTGCAAGGCAACAGCTGGCGCGGTGCGTCTTGGCGGCCCCCTTGCCCTGTGGTCAATAAGCCCGGACAACACGTGCTCCGGCGCGGCTCCGCGTGGCTCCGTCCCCTCGAGCCTCGAGCCCACACTAGTAGTCACTTACACCCCCACTTTCGGCACCAGAAGAGGAGACAGAGGGAATGAAGAAGCTAAGCGACTTGATTGGGAGCAGTGTCACGGATTGTACTTTAATTTTTAACTGCAAAAATCATCTCAACATTGAGCCCTACACTGGTCTCTGGTCACGCTCGCGCGCTCCTTGGCCTTCCCCAGCACACGGTGGCGGCGACCCCGGCCAGACCAAGTCCCCCTCCCCCTTTTCCTCCGGGGGTCGAATAATATGTAAAGGAGTGGAGATAAAAAATGGTTTACCAGCAAGAGTATAAAGGCGTGCGCCCGCTGTCCCGCCCCCCGCTAAGCGAGTCTGTCTGGCCGGTGACGTCACATGAATGTTAAGCAGGCTTGCCCAGGCTCACCCAGGCACCCCGTGACCAGGAGTGACCGCGAGTGTGACCAGGGGTGGAACCACGGGAAGGACCAAGGGAGGGACCGTGGACCATACGAGTGTGTCCACAACCCCACCGCGCACCGCGCGACCGGCCCCTTTCAGGAAAAGGCACGAGCGCACAGACAACGCACGTACGCACAGATCTACTTTTGCTGCTATTGGAATGCAGAGAGCAAACAGACAATGGCAGAGAGACCGGTCGGTCAAGATGGAATGAAAGGTATGATTCAGCCCTTCGGCCGCAGCCACCCCGACTGCGGTTCAGTGCAGTACCTCGTCCTTCGGCCCTGCTGCCCTGCGGCCCCAGCCAGCCACCCCTGCAGTGTAGTGGTTAATCTCCTCCATTGTCAACAACACGCATACGGGCGTGGCGCGGCGTGGCGCCGTGGTCCAATTCGGGTGTGCGAGGGCCATTCTGGCATGGGGCGGACGACGGACGAAAAGGGCGTGCTGCTGACCAAGACGCATGCCTCGGGCGGGGCGGGGCGGGGCGGGGCGGGGCGGGGCGGGGCGGGGCGGGGCGGGGCGGGCGCGGCGTCGCCCTGCGTGGCTTGGCCGGCGTGGCCCGCCCGGGCTGGACAGCCATAGCCAGCTAGTTCTGGCTCCGGCCCCGCACCCTCCACTTTGCGCCCACACCAAGGGGCCGTCGCTAAGCAACGAAATCGAACCACCGTCTACGTACGTCGTACGGGCGGCGCGACGGAATTCATGAAAATCAAACTAATCCGACAAACTTTGTGGCTGGCCCACTTTTTTGCCGTCCCGGCCTGTCACCGACACGGCTGCGGCCCGCCGAGCGCGCCGAGCAGTGCGACGGTAATTTCGATTCGACCGGCCCGCGGCCCGGAGGCCGAGGCCCGGACACGTTGGCGTGGTGCGGCGGCCCGAAGGCGTTATTCCTTTGGGCGGCGCAATTCCAGCACAAGTGGGTCCCCTGGAGGGCGCGAGGCGAGGCGGTCTGGGCGGGGCGGGGCGGGGCGGGGCGGGGCGGGGACGGACTGCGGATGACGCGAACAGGTGATGTATATGCATTCCTATTGTGAGCGGGGCCAGGCGGCGTGATTGCCCGCCCTTCCATTGCAAGGCAAAGAGAGAGAGAGAGAGAGAGTGAGACAGAGAGAAAGGGAGAGAGAGCAAGAGAGACAGCGAGAGCGAGAGAGAAAGAGGGTGGTGGGGTGGCATCCGGCGCGCGCTTTGAGCCCGAAGCCCGAACCGCCTCAACACAAATCAAAAACAGACCGCGGGGGTGACCACAGGCCGCAAGTTATGACCCTGACAGGTGCCTGGCTGGTTGGCTGGCTGTCTGCCTTGCCGCCGCAGCCGTGCGTAGCCGCCAGCCAGGCAGCCAGCCAGCCTGCGCGTTTTCGAGTTGTTGATTCAGCCGCGCCTTATTCTGGTATGAATAAAAAACCCTCGGCCGCACCTGAGCCCACCTGTTAAATCCGCCAGATAGCTCCTCCACTACAATCTCCTTCCAAATGGGGCGTTTAAGGCCCCCCCCCCACCTAGGAAACCCGCGCGACGGACGGCCGAAAGAAGCGCAGGCAACACCAAATTACTCCACCCTGCCTTTCAGGTTGGCCCAGCAGGTGCCAGTTAAGGGGCGGGCAGTGGCGA